CCTCCCCTGTCCAGTCTGCCGCCTGCCTTAGTAGCTGCCATTGGCCTGCTCCCCCCGAGCCCTGCCTCCAGTCCCCCGGTTTATCCCCCCTGCTTCACGAATCACGAAACCAGCTCTACCTGCTTCTCCTGGGTCTACTGTGGGGCTCGGCCCCTCCCTCCACGCAATCAGCCAGAGCACCTGTGCGCTGCCTTGCCCGCCGTCTTCCTAAAGCTTTTTTGATTGACTTCAGAGAAATACCCTCTCCCCTTCCCGCCCCTCAGGGTCTATGTGTTACATAACATGTTCTGTGCCTCCATTTCTGTGTCAGTAAAATGGAAATAATTAGAGCACTTATCTCAGAGAGTTTAAGAAAGAATTCACCTAATCATCCATGTAAAGAACTTAGAGCCCTGTCTGGCCATAGAAGCAAGTATTTAATAAATGAATGGAAAAAAATGAATGAAATACGTGGAACTGGATACCCCCTGGTTGAGATGAATGGGGGAGGTGAAACCCCAACTTCTGAGCACTTTCCTTCCCCAAGCTGTATCCTCAGAAGGTACTAACTTCTGGGGCCCACAGTCCCAGTGTGGAAACTACTAGTGGTTTCCATACACATGGGGCATTTTTCATATTCAAGTTCATGCTTTATTACTACCTACTTTTATTTCTCTTCAAAACTTATGTGTGCATGTTTTATCTCATCAACAAGGTAATAAACTTCTGAACAATTAAAACACCAGTCACCTTGAATGGGTGAATAAAAAAGTCTACTGCATGTTAATATTTTTTATTGATTTGACTAAAAGACCTACACTTAACCATTTGTCAGTGTTAGTCAGGACCCCATTCTTCAAGGTCTGGCCACAGTGGCTATTTGCTTATTGCTATTTTGGGTGAGGGTTGTCTCATTGTCTGATTCCTTTGCTCAAATCTGTCCGCATTTCTGTTTGCTGTGGAAAAGGTGTTTCCATGAGCTACACTGCCTATTAGTTATGCTTTGTCCCCCCTCCCCTTTGGCTGCCTACTTAGAGCTTTTGGGACCAGCGCCTGGGAGCTTCAGGGAGATGAACATCTTTCATCTTTGATTCCCTGGTATCCATTAAAGGGCTCTTGCCTTGGCACTTGACAGTGGGTAGGGGCTTATTCACACAGAGTCATATGGAGTCACTGCACTGGGTCGAAGCCTGAGTCCCAGGGTCTCCTAATCTATATGGTAGCTTTGTAAGAATAGGAAAGGCCAGTGCCTCTGGTTGGATGCAGCCCCAGAGGTGTATGCCTTAGAGCAGTGCACAAGCTGAACCACTGTACATGGTATCCCTGCCTGTTCTGGTTGTGTATACAAATGGTTCCTTCCATTCCCTTTCCTAAATGGTAAATAGTGCTGCTATTTGACAAAATGTGCTTCTCTTGGGGATGTGGGTTTCTCTAAATTCTTCCAAATCTCGATCATCAATGACCTAATAATGAATCATTTTCTCATTTGTGTTTTATTAAAAATTGTCCTCTCTTCCAAAGGTTATAACTCTGGCTGATTTATCTGTGATTCTTTAGCTGAAAATGTGGACAAAGATCAGGGCCTTGCTTTTTACACACTTAAGTCATTCCTATCCTCGATGTGCTGAAGACAATTGGCCAAACTAGATGTGTATCACTTTCAAAATATTTCCTTCTGACCCATGGAAATGCACAGGGCAGTGAAAACCTCTAAGGTGTTGCCTTCTTTGTCCTTTCAAAGAGGGTGAGAGGAGGGAGGGAAATAAATGGGGGGAGAGAGAGGAGTGAGAGGGAAATACACACAACCTGGGAAAGAGAAGTAAAATAAGATGGGGTCCAGAGGGGCAGCTGGGACCTTGGAGGAAAATAGAATCCTTGAATGTATTCTTGCCAGAGACAAAAGCACAGGCTTATTTAAAAAACAAAGGAGGGCAGCTTTATTCTAAAGCCTGCTGTGCACCAAATATAGGCCCTTAGATTCAGTTCTCCTCATTCCGAGGAAGCAGCTTACCAGGGTAGAAACAATTCAGTGAATGCGTTTGCCTGACTCTCTCCTGCCCACCTTAACTCTCACCCGCCCAAATAATTCCTCCGAGTAACACATTGGGAACCTTTAGCTCCCTGGTACTGGCAGTTTTAATGTGTCCATTGCCAGCAGTGAATTTTGTGCCAAGAAAACTCGACTCCTGGCGTGGAAGGATTCAACAGTCCTCGGGTGCCATCTGTGCAGTGAAGTGAGAGAGTGACTTTGTTCACCCAATGTGCGTGTATTGCCATTGGCAGTAGGAAGTGACTTCTATTTACATGACTACCTCACACAGCGAACACCTAAGGGGAGAGATGAAAATGGCCACCTCAGTGGGGGGAGGGTGGTGGTGGTAGAGCAGGGGAGAGGCGGTCCTGGTGCGGGAGTGAGGAGCCTGTGGGAAAACCTGGGAGAAGATGCAGGTTGAAATGGCAGATAAAACTAATTATCCCCTAGGGGAAGGGCTGCTTCAAGAGGAAACACCCTGGTGTCCGCTGGGCATCAGGGGAAGCGGGACAGGTGCCATGGACTTCCTCGGAGATGAGGGTTTGGATTTGATCTTGTGCTTCTAGGTTCAAAGACTTTTCAGAATGAGAATTTGCAAATGAACTTTCAACTCATCATCCACCGGGTTCTAGAGTCAGGGGTAGGGTCCCAGGCAGCACATTCTTGGTGTTCCAGGAGATTTTAGTACTTTGGGATATTTGAGAAAGCCCTTTAGCACCTCGCAAACATGGCTTTACCACAGGAGCGAATGGTTTTTCAAATTTAAACATCCGGACAGGCCATTAATGAGAAAATTCCAGCTGTAAAATGAAGGAAGTGATGGAGATACACATTTTTTAATAACAGGGTTTCCCTTCAGGGAGTTTTTCAATTAAATCAGGAGAGCTTTCAAGGTTCTACTTCTGTCCTGGGTAATCTAAAGAATACACCGTTGAGTAAAGCCCTGAGTAGCTAATAATACTATAGTGGGGAAAAGAGATCACAAAATAACTATAAGTTCAAATAGATAAATTGAGGGTTAAGAGATATGCAAGGGAAGTGTCATGGGAGTCAAAGGGGGAGGTAGTACACATTTCCTACCAGATGCAGGTGGAGGGGGAATGGCATTCCAGGCGGAAGGAACAGACGACACAGGCGCCAAAGGGAATGGCTCAGAAATATTCAGAGAACAATGAGTGTTCTAGGTAAACTGGGCCATTGTAAGAAGGGTGTTTGAACACTTGGCTAAAGAATGAGGGCTGGACTTAGTTGAGTCCACAGGAAAGGTCCAGGAAGGTGTTGGGGATGGGGTTGATCTCTTAACTGCCTGTGGTATAGACTGAAGGGTAGAAAGAAGAGCTAAAGGAAGGCCACTTGGGCACTGGGAGACTGTTACAGAAGGAGTTGGTCATGTGACAGCAGCAGTGTGGTTATAAAGACGGGAAAGGATGTCCAGAGCAGCCTGTTGGACACAGAGGAGAAAGAATGGGAAAAAGTGAGTCCAGAGTATCATGTGGGACAATTAGCAAAAAAATAGGGATAACCTGATTATGGGACTGCTTTGCTGTGAAAGAGGATTTATGCATCTTACTTTACAGGTTGTTACTATTCTATCTTGACTGAAAAACAGAGATGAAACCATGCAGGCAGGCACAAACACAGATGCACCCCCTGCCCTGCTGACCCCACCCCTAGCCTTCCTAAATAAAGCTGAAAGTAAGAGGTAAAACTTAACTGCCTATATTATGCTGCAAAACTAGACATTTGATTTGAATTTTATTGCTTTGATCAAATGGTTTCAGAATGCATAGTAATGATGGCATCTTACAAAAACATACAAATATTGCTCAGAGTGATGTACTAATATGAAGCCCACATACAGAGAATTGTGCCACAGATGAGAAATTGTGTTCTTAAATTATGCTTGTTTTTGTTTTTCTTTTTAATTCACCATCCTGGAAAGTGTTTTGAATTTTCTTTGGAGAATGTGAACATCAGATAATTTTATCTTGTCATCTGTAAGTTTCAGGGTTTTTCAACAGGTCTGGATCAGGAAAGTTCTGGAAAGTTCTGTACTGGGTAATCTAAAGAATACACCATTGAGTAAAGCCCTGAGTAGCTAATAATACTGTAGTAGGGAAAAGAGATCACAAAATAACTATGAGTTTGAATAGATAAATTGAGGGTTAAGAGATATGCAAGGGATGCAGATATACCAGATGCAGGTGGAGGGGGAATGGCATTCCAGGCGGAAGGAACAGACGACACAGGCACCAAAGGGAATGGTGCTAGAAGGGCCTCTAGTGCTCAGGCTAGCACTTTCAGCTGCATCAGTGTGCCACCAGAGAGGGTGCTCTGGCTTTGAGGTGGTGTCCACACTAGCATGTGGGGCTGCCAGTGATGGTTGCACCCAGCCCTTCTTTCAAATGCTGTAGCCCACCTGAAGAGCAACCTGCCCTCTGGGTCTCCCATCGGGCAACCAACCTGTTGGATGCTATTCAGTAATTTGGGTTCAAGGGCTTTTCAGGGTATTACCCAACTGTACCCACTCCTCACCTGCTTTACTCAAATCTTGTGTGAAAATCTGTACATATTTAGCTGTGAATAACAAAATTATAGGCTTGCACATACATCTTAATTATGATAATACCCTAAGATATTTTAATATATAGCGAAAGGCTTAGAGAGTCTTCCGAGCTCTAAAGGAATATGTTGAATTTGACATGTTTTCTAAACTGAAATTTTTATAATTAAAGTAATTATCTGGTGTTGCTTTGTATTTCCAAATGAATGCATATTGTGACCTATATAGCATATGATAAAGACTGTAATTATGCAGAATATAGTAGGGGAAGCTATTGGAGTATCTCTAAACCACCTGTGTTATTTCTTTTTAACAAGAATTTTGTTGGAAATAAAAAATATATGTTTTCTAGAATAGATGCACTTAAAATGTTCTTAAATCACGTATAAATAGGTTATAGAAAGGATCTATTTCCTCATCTCTTACCCTGTAATGCTCAAGGTTGTCTTCAGGAGTTGGGAGACCCATGTAGCGTTCTGTGTACACTGAATCTGTGATGGAAAAAAGGAAAGAAAACTTAATTCATACAACAAAGCTTTTCTTCTTCTATTAGGTTAGTTTATGTGCTCCCATATATCTAAATTTGTGCATCGATCTATAACATTCCCCTCAGAAGTATCTCCTTGCAATCATCTTTATTTGGCTTGTTAATGCAGCCAGACACCTGCTCAGACTCACACCTTTCCCATACTCAGAGGGAGATACACCCCTATCTTCCTAGCCCTATGGTGAGGGCACAGATGATCCAACTAGATGACCCAAAACTCAATCCATAACCCATCTGCAGAAAAGTCAAATGTGAAGTGCTGACAGGTAAGGGCCCTTTCTATTATCATCCGACCCTCTTGAGAATCCTCATTAGGGAGTCGCTGCCTCAACTGTCTTGAATTTTTTGGCCCTGACATCAAGTGCTTGCCTTAATTTACATGCACTCTTTTCTTTTGGAAACCCCTTACAATGTTCAATTTTCAGTTCTGACTTTAATGTTATTTTATTTTTTTGGCTGGTTGAAATTCACTGTAATGAAAAGAAAGAATTCAGTTATCTTGATTTGCTGCACATCGCTATGTTAGCTCGGTTGCTCCATCAAATGCAAGTCCAACATTGGTTTTCTCTTATTTTAAAAGCAGAAAGGCCTCGGTTTTGGTGCTGTGACAGTTGAGTATTGGGAAACAGGTTATAGTAATATCTGTCTGCTGATATGACATAAGCTCTTTTATCTGTAAATATGGCAGAAAAAGACAGGTTGTGGAATTGATTTCATTATTTCAGATAAGTAAACATATTTTTGTTCTATTTAGAAAAATAAAATAAATTTTATATATATATATTTGCCCTAAAATTTTAATTGAGAAAATTTACTGTGGCCTAATTCCAATATAACTTTAAAAATATGAAGTAACTGTTTTTGAAAGATGCTCTGTAAGTGACCAGCTTACAGTAAATAAGTATAAGAATAATGCGCTGCCATTGTGTTATATTGGTTACTGGCTTGAATGTAATTGTACAGGTATTTCAGTACTGATCTCATTAATTCTTTAAATGGATACCTCATCTAAGCAACAACCTTAAGCAACATTCTAACTCTTGTTGAATAACTGGCATCGTGATAATGAGTGTTAGTTGTTCCACATCTATTCCTCATGCCATTTCCATGGAAGTCAAAATATTTTCCTCCAAAATGAGTAATAGCAATATTTTATTATTTGGATTAAAATTAATAGACTATATATAATTTTACGTATCTCTAGGACACTAATATAGAAAATATAATATTTTAAAGTACATTTAAAATATAAGATCTTCATAAAATGCTCATATCTTAAATGTAAACATGAATACCTTAGATTGTACACTTGATAGGGGAAAAATGGCCTTTAAAGGCAAAATAAATTTTTCCCCAAAGAGAAGCAGACCTCAATTCTTCGTGTCCTAGAACCTAATATCCACTTCTTGTTATGTTAACCAAGTTTGTGTAAGAAAATCCGAAATTTTAACAATAGTATTTTAAAAAATGTATCATACAGTTATATATTTAGAAATATACCTTGAAATACCATTTATGTATTCCTTCTATCTGATCTTTGGGTAGAATTGTTCAAATTAACACACATATAAGAATTCTAGAAATTTCCTATGTGTTAGGTTGGCTCATATACTTTAAATGTAGTTCTCTTACCATTTCTAAACTCACAAAGATTGTTTCTATTATTTTTTTTGGCCACCAGAGGTCTCCAAAAACAAGCTATCCAACAGAACAATAAATACCAAGTAGAAAAAGTCTATGAAAACAAATGTGGATCAAATCATAATTAATCTTCCCAATTTTTTTTTTGACAGAAAGATAACAATAAATTGTTATTTTTTACATGGTTTCTCTTGACTTGGAGAGGCTTTTAAAAAGGGTTTTCTGCAGGATTGGTACTACCGTATATGAGGACATAAGCTATTTAACGAGCATATTCATTATCAATGACTGCATTCTCACACTACATCAGGGACCTCAGACAGAGTCAGAAGAAGCGTAGGAAAATAATTCCTCTCATCACCTCTGACTCTTCCCCCTACCTAAGCAGGGTTCCCTAATAAGCAGGATTCCACTGCTTATTGCCTTCCCCTTGGGAACTATACTCTTACGTGTGCACAATGCCTTGTTGAATGATATTTTCTCATGATGAGAAGATTTTGGAGTGCAATCTCCTACTTAGGAGACCCCTTACTTAGGAACAGTGGAGAAAACCATCCCCCAGGAAATCCTCTGTCCCTAGTCTCCTCCTTCCTTCCAAAGACTACTTATATTTGCCCTTTCCCAAAAGAAAAAGACATGTTTCTTTTATTCTAATATATGAAATTCAAAACTCAAATTAGAATAAAGATAAGGAAGGGTTTACCTACAGAAATGTAGCATTGGGGAGATTTTCAAATTTGGAAAACAGACTTTGTTGATAACTAAATGTGTAGATAATGTATACTACTACCCAGCCTTTCACAATCACAGAATAAATGAGATCATTTTTATTGATAGCCTTAAAGTACCTCTGAGATGAATCAGCTTATTTGCTGTAGAAACACTGAAACTCAAAAAGGAATACACTTATCATTGAAATTTTGAGGTCAACACTCAGCATCTCTTTGTACCTGATAGCAATCACCTACCATAGTACTCCCACCGTGACACAGGTGCCACGGCTATTCCGCACTTGAACACGCCACTTCCTGCTCCCAGGACCATTGAGGTTACGTATCCACCATATGACTGTGGAATGCAAGCAGTTATTTTTATGGAGGTAAAGGAATTAAAGACATATGGTGAGTCACGGCTTCCATGTTTCTCACATCTTTCTATACCGTGCCTCTTCAGAGATAGAAAACTTTAAACTGGCCCTAATTGCACAGTATCTAAAGACTATGCTTTCAGAGCCCTGCACCCTTTTCTTGATAGGTTAAGGGGGAAAAGCATTGACAATTTGCTGGGTAGCACCAGTTAAAACAAACAAACAACAGGAAATCCTTACTGACTTTGACTCATGAAAACAAGTCTTCCTGCCTCCGTCCCTCTCCCCCAGTTTCTTCCTTTCCTCTTTCCCTCCCTTCCTCACCTGTCTCCTCATCATAACCAAGGAATAAGCCGAGCTAGTAGGGATTCATTGCCCAGAGATCTAAGACATGTTATTTGGACCTACCTAGGTTACAATCATAGGCATGGTTTTCATCTCCAAATATTTGCATACAAAAGATAAACTAACGTGCTCTGGGTTATAGTCACTAACTATATGCATACAGATTCATCAGCCAAACAGCTACTCACCCAGCCCCAAATGGCAATCCGTTTCTCATCCACAAATCCCATGTTTGTAAATTGTCTAAAATACACGAAGTCCACAAATTAGTAATGCACTGTGTGTAATAAACTATAAGATGAATGCACAAATGTGAACCTGTGCTATTTGTTCTCTTTTTCATTCTGTTAGAGACTAAGATTAATTATTACCGGCAGTCACATAAATACCTCTGATTGATGTCTGTCATTTTTAACTTAAGAACCAGATTAATAAAATATACTTTTGTTGGAGTCCATAAAATTGGTGTGTGTGTTGCTCTGTGTGTGTGTGTGTGTGTGTGTGTGTGTGTGTGTGTGTGTGTGTGTTGTGTGTCTGATTCACAGAAAACAAATCCTGGCAGTTTTTTTCACAGCTTTATGTAAAAGTTTGCAGCCCAGATGCACTTTTCTTTACATAATTGAATTTAAATCTCTCCAGATGTTTTTCTGTTTGTGAGAGGCGGCCCCTGCAATGGAGAAATAGAGGGGCTTGGAGAACATCTGGGTAGGGCTTAGAAATGTCTCTGGGCTCCCTACCTGAGAACTTAAACACCACTCTCTAAATAAATCCTTTCTTATGCCGGGTGTTGATTAGTTAGCTTAGCACCATTAAATAGGATACAATTTTTCCTTGATGGATTAAAAAGTCATTTTGCCATTAAATTGTGTTCAGGATTGGAATCCAAGAAATAGGAAAACTCTTTTATGTGCTTATTTCTTAATCTTAGCCTTGCATCAAAAGGCAGTTAGTTCACTTAAAAAAAAATTCAAGCAAATGGAGGTCTTAACTTTGTGATATTCAAGGGGGTAGGGGACCCTTGCATTGATCTATATGTGACTTTAAGAATCTTTGTGTTCTCAATTGATTGTATATGTCTTAGGCTGCTCTGACTTATGCAATATTAGAAAAAATTAGAAGTCCTTAAGTAGTTTTCAACTCGTTATCTATGTAAACTTTTAAAACTTAGAATATATACAGAAATGTGTACCAAATCCTAAATGTGCAAGTTGATAAACTTTTACAAAATCCTCTAAGATACAGTGCTTGTTTCTTCCAGAAGCCCCTGGGACATCTCTCCCTTCACAAAAGGAAACAATGAAATGTTTCCCTTTTATTGGATTCCACAAAAATTTCACCTAATTTCTGCCTGTTTTTGACCTTTGTATAAATTGAGTCATGCAGGATATACACTTTTGTGCCTGCCTTCTTTCATTCAACAGCCTGTGAGATTCCTCCAGGCTGTTTATGTAGTTCTTTATAGTTGCTGAAATAGTATTTGATTGTATAAAATGCTACACTTCATACTTTTTTCACTGGAGCTGTATTTGTGCATACCCAATTCTGTAATTTTAGATTTGAGATGCTCTGAAAACTAAGCCCTCTCTCACAGACCACCAGTTGGGATAAATTCAAATTTAGTTTTAAAATGTCACACTTACTCCTGAACCACTAAGTTCTCTCTAATCTAAACCTCTCTTTTCTATGTTTAAGGAAAATAGCTAATCATTAACTTTGGTGTAAGAAACTTAAGGAAACTTAATCAATTATCTGTCCTCGTCTCTTCTCTTTGTTTTTTTTTTTAAGGCATTTTCTTATGCTTAGTCATTCACAATTTTTCTGTATCTCCTACTTTATGGTTTCACATTATTTTAAACCCTCCACTTATTTATGCTTCTCCAGACATGCATGTGGTTTCTTATAGAAACTCAAAGACTGCCTTTCCTATTTACCAGTTAAATGCAATTGAACACAAATTGGAGTGAGACCTGCATTCAGATTCTGCTTTATCTTGGCAAATTACTAACCTAAGAGCCTCCGTTCCTTCACCTGGGATATGGATACTCACCTCCCAGGACTGCTGTGCTCCTTCAATGACAGTGCAGGTAAAACACTGTCCATGTTGCACATGCATTATTGGGGTAACCATCATTCGTGGTAGCAATCTCTGTTTAGCCAGATCACATCTATCTACAGTCCTGCCACTGGCTAGCACAGAACGAGATGTGATTGATTCATACTTAGCAAAGCCCTTACAGTGGTGAGCAAAGATAATGTTTCAACCATTTTACCCAAATGAAGGAATAATGCACATCCAGACAGTAGGCTAGGATTTCACAGCCAGCACCGTTCTACAGTGTAAATGAACACTGCACCCCTTACTTATCCTTGACTATAGCTTTGGTTTCCTTGTGTAGCTAGTTGTTTACTCAGGGGTACATTTATCCCTCAGTTTGTCCACGTGGTTTGATGAATTTCAAGTCTCCATTCCTAAAAGCGATAGTACATATGCCAACTCCCTTTCTGGAGTCACACAGAGAGAAGGATTTAAGAAATACTTCCTAATAATTGTTTTAGTTTTATATACATCTATAATGACATCCATTTTTATATAAACATGACATCTTCCCTAAAAATCTACCACAAAGATGAAAGATTACAAATTCATTCCAGGACATCTTAAATTCTCTACACTTTACAGCTATAAAATATAAATTGAGGTGGGGAGAAATAATCAGCTGACCTTTGAATTCATCTCCTAGTCACTCACCTGGCTGCTTCAATTTGATCTTCAACTTCAAGTGTTCCCAGTCTTCTGTTGATTGCATGCAAGATCTTATCTCCTTGGTAACCACTTCCTCTGCCATCGAAGCTAGCTACTATAATTTTTTCTGTGCTTGCAAGGTAAGTAGCCCAGTTGAGTCTGAAGACAGTGTCTGCTTTTTGACTACAGGGGCCTGCATATCTGTGAAAAATCCCGAACTGTTAGCCTTTGTGGGTTTCCTAACTCAAAGGAGAAGTGCTTGCGTTTCTATCCCCGTGGACAGGAAATGTGCGCTTTCCAAATCATGGACCTGCAATGGTGTCAGCCCCCGGGGATGCGTACAATGGGTCCTTTAAAACTTGTTAATGGGACTGTAAGGGCTGCGTGTGGTCTTCAAAGCTGTCCATCAATTTTGTCTTTGAAGATTGTGTTATCAAACACAGATGTCATAGGCCCATGTTTTCTAAATCATATACGTTTCTTGGAAGTCAAAGAAATAAATACTCTGATAGTTGGGATAGGGGAGTTGTGAAAAAAAATGAGGATGCACATAAATGAAGCTTTGACTGTACCTTTCATCTTGGCTTACAAACACATCTAGACTACAAGTGCATTTCCTATGCTGGGACCTCCTTAGGGCCTTGACTGCTGTGTGTAACACACACTGTGTTTCCCCTAGCGCCCACCACAGTGTTGCTCACTAAAGCTCCACTGGGCAGAATGGGCCGAAGTATGAATGAGCACTTTTCCTTAAAACTTCAAAGGAGAAAGAGATAGACTGTCTTGGGAAATGGGCATGTTGTTTGGCATTCTATTTATTACCTTCTTTATAGCTGCAGTCTTCACAGGCTGTACCTTATCTCCCCCCTCCACCCACACAGCTGTATGCACCATCTGCACCAAGCCCTCTCATCTCCTTTGTTCACCAAGAGAAGCTCCCCATAGCTTGTTGCATCTCATTTAAATATGTCATCTCTGCAGCATCCATAGGACTTGTGGACCCAAAGCTTCCCCAGTGCCTCCCAGTGCCTCTCTCCTCTCTGTCTGCTCACGGTCCCCTCCACAGGGTTGGACAAGTCCTGCTTGCATGACTTTGCTAACATTTTCCTCTCTCTCCTTAGGGACAGCCATCAAAAGAACTTCAGTTCTAAACAAAATATTGTATTGCTTTAATTTTAAAGTAAGTATTGTAACATTCTAACTTTAAAAAGAAGAATGCATTCATGCATATTTTGGATAAGTCAACATTTTTTTACCAACACATGAAATACCCTGGTCCTTTCAATGGCATTCAATTTGGTAGAGTAATAGCTTCCTTTAGTATTAGTTATATCATAAGTCACTTAACCTCCTAAGATCAAACGACAATATTTTTAAAAATAGAAAATAATGAGTTAGGCATTTAAGAATGGGAAGAGGAAAATAACTGAAAAGAAATGGGCACTACATTTACCATGTTTCTTTAGGTTTCCTAATGAAGGGGAGGTCTAACCATTACTTACTGGGGAATCAAAGAAGATTCTTTCTTTAAAGGATCCTTTTTCAGTGTTGGGGCTAAAGCCTAAAGCAACTTAATGTCACTATAGTCAAAGTCAGGCTCAATGAGAATCAAATAGTACATCTGCAAATTTAAATAGTCGTCTCTGTCCTTGAGCTTTTGTTTATATGAAACTGTTCATATTTCTGATATGTATCTGATGCTAATATCTATACCCCTCCTTTTCTTTCTTTGTTCTAGTTACAACAGAAAACTGATGTCTCTGAGTTTCAGTTTTCTTTTCTCTATATAAAGGGCCCAACAGAACTCTCCACTTTGGTTTCCGTGTGAATGAAATAAGGCAAATTATCTGGCATGCAGCAGGCACTTAGCACACTGGTTTGTTTTGCTTTTAATAAAGGAAATGGGGCAAGCTAGGACAGAATGAGTGACATTGTGGCACTATGTGTGAGGTGAGGGCAATTTTAGAAGGATTAAAGTAAAAATATATTTCTAATAGTTATTAAAAATATTTTACAAAGATGCCATCTTCAGAATTTGCACTAATTCATATTTACTGCTCAAAGAGCTGTGATTCCAGAACTTTCTCTAAGACTTGAATAAGCTTGGATTATAATGAATAATTTCCTATCACATCTTCTCTTGACCAAAAAGGGGAATGGAAAATACCAGGCAGTGATATTTCAGGAACTAGAGGAAGAGACACCGGATGTCGTAATGAATCAGAGGCCACCAATGGGAGACGTTGGGCAAGTTGGAGGGTAAGGAAATTGTGAGAACTCTTCATGTCCATCTCTTGGTTCTTAAAATGTCCATGAAATGGGGACTTGAGAACTCCTTGGGAACTTTCTTGTAGTTCAGGGAAACAACTAAAAACAAAATCCATATGCCATGACTCAGGAGGAGTGCCTGCCTATCTTAGAAAGATGGCTAAAAACATAGATTTGGATTTGTGACCCTAAGTGGAAGTGGAAGATAGATATAGTTAAAACTGCTTCCCAGTGATTCAGGATGAGAGAAAGGATGCATTCAGTTTGATTTTTCAGTAAGCTGCGATGGGCAAAAAAATGTACGATGATACATGAGATTTGATAAATTGTTCTCTTCTCTTGAATACTTACACATCTATTAGTAGAGGATATTTCTTGAGTTTATCAAAATGGGGAGGCAAGATCATCTGATACCAAAGTTCTAAACAAACAGAAAGATCAATTAGTGATTAAGAACGATTCTTAGTGCATGATGGTGGTTTCTTATCTGTGTCAGTGAGAAGTCATATCTAGCACTTACAATTTGTTAAATTAGAACAGAACAAGAAAATGAACTGCTTGGTTTCAGCACGTTTTTAAGATTATAAATACATTCTCTTTCAGGTTAAAATACTAGTTAGAGCAATAAAGTTGTTTTTAATGTATCTATTAAATATACTGGTGCCTTGAAAAATAAAAGGACATCTTAGAATTGCTAATGTCTTGTTTCTATGATTCCGTTCTCCAGCTCCTGATCTATATCTAGTTTGTTTATGGCTTATGTTTGAAGTTTTTCTCCAAAATGTTTTCCTCTTCTTGAATTTCCTTGAAGATGTTTAGGATTTTTAGTGGGCCCCAACTCTATTTTAAAATTCTGATTTAATAACATTTTTGTAATTCTTATTGCCATCCCAGACCGCAAAGCCGAGTTCCCATTTTCAGCTCTGCATTTCACAGAAGGAAATCAGGTTTACATGGAGCAAACTGTTGTGTACATTCTGTCTGATCCTCCAAGATCTGTTTAATTCTCTGTGCTTGATTTAACATCACTTTAATAGAATTTGTCCCTCAATAATGAACTGGTTTCCTTTGCCCTCAAATTCAGGATCAGTTAGACTAATAAATTAAAAAAAAAAAAGAGCAGGGGGCGGTTGTTCTATATTTTAATAAGATTATATCCAGTTTCAGTAAGTTTAACCTGTACAGAAAAAAATCCTTATCTCTAGTGCTGTTTCTTCTTTATATTAATCTTTCTTTTTGTCACAATTATTTTGAAGAAAATGGTTTAGCAGTAAAATCTTTATATAGGTAGATTTCTTTTCAACTTGTAAATTGCCAATTATTTTATGCTTTCTGATAACTTATATTTTATAAGAACAAAAATTGTAAGTCTCTATTAATTTCAATAAAATGTCAAACTGATATTGATCATGTTTTTAGTAAATAGGCCAAACCCACCACTTGATCTTTTGATCTGTTCTTTGTTCGAATAAGCACAAGTTGTTTAGAAGTGTTTCAGTTCCACCTTTTTGAAGGTGCACAGTCTTTTCTATGGGGGGGGGGGTGTCTTTCTAATTACCAGGCCCATTCCCTCTGCTCCCACAAGCCCTCCGTTCCTGGAGTTTGAAGGGTATATAATAAAATTCTGTTATTAAATCAGAATTTTAAAATAGAGTTGGGGCCCACTAAAAATCCTAAACATCTTCAAGGAAATTCAAAAATATAAAAATATTTATATTTTTATTGGTGTTTTTTTACCAAAGTCCTGTTCCCAGAGACACTTAACTTCCTTATGCCATTCCAAATAATGAAGTCCATTTTTTTGAGGGTATCTGGACATCCTGCAGCATTTTATCCAAAGCTGAATTGTCTTCCAGGACTCTTGAGTTCCCAACCAGACCCTCCATCTTTCACTCCATATCAGGATATCCATCCAATCATGTAGCTTCCTTGACCCCAAAACTTTCAGGGGCTTCTCACTGTTTACCAACTGAACTAGAATGTCACATGCCACTATTCAATGCCTTTTGTACGAGGCGGTCCAGTCAGCTCTCCAGAACCCTAAGCCCTTGCTGGTCACTCCTGATGCAAAGGCCAGCAGCACTGACAACACGAAGGAGCAGATTCCTGGCCCACCCGGGCTCTCTGGGTCAGAACATGCGCATGAGCAAGGTCCCCGGTGACTCCTGCGCACACTCAGTTTGAGCAGAGCTGCTCTAAGCTGTTCTGAGGTACCCCACGCTTCCCTGTGCTTTTCCTGCCATTAAATTAGATGAGTTGATCTTTTCTATCAATCTAGAAAGATCTAGAATTAGATCTTTTCTATCATTATCCTATGTTAAAAAATAAATAAATAGATCAACCACGATGGAGTTCCCCTTCCCCTATGAGTTGTTAGCCCTTTGGAAAAAGCAAGCAAACAAATAAAAATGAACAAACACAAGATTTCCTACTCAAAGAAACCCCTTGTTCTTAGCACTCCCTGAGCACAGTCCATGATCAGGCCAGGACTAGGATAATCACAGTAGGGTGTGGGGGGCAGAAGTATAGGGGTCTGCGGAGGAGGGGGGACTAGGTTAGGAAAACGTCAAGATTTCTCTCTGGAGACTTAAGTTTCAACATTTTATAGCCAACTTAATTTTCTTAATACAACCATCTCAGGTATTTTTTTTTTTTTGTCTCTTTGGGTTAAATGTTAAATGTATTAAAATACCAGTAAGTTTTACACACAAGTAATACTTAACAGTAGAATGGAGTAACTAATGGGATGAAACTGATTTTTGCAATAGTGCTTTTTAACCAAATGCTTTTCCCTTAACAGAGTAAATTTTACATAGAATGGTACTATATTTTCTAAAGAAAAGGATGTAAAACCAGCAGTTCTGTGACAGGGTACATCATCTAAAAATAACCTTAAATGAGAGTTAATATATAATAGAAAATGCATATTTTGAGACCAAGTTATCATATTTATATTTTTATTGGTGTTTTTATGCAAAGTCCTGTTCCCAGAGAAACTTAACTTACTTATGCCATTCCAAATAATGAAGTCCAGTTTTTTTGAGGGCATCTGGACATCCTGCAGCATTTTATCCAAAGCTGAATTGTCTTCCAGGACTCTGAGTTCTAAACAAATATGTGGGACAGCAGTCATTCGTTACAATGTGAGGAATTTGGATTGTGCAGAACAACGAGGTACAAATGAACAATTCACTGGGCACTGTATGTACTTCAGGTTATAAGCTTTGTGTCCCAGCTCATTGTTAAGGCAGTGACTCCAAAGTCAAAGAAAATCCTACAGTGCTAGGTACATGTTGGTCCTATTCAAACACACTTTCCTAAGAAGCAAATAAAGGGTGAAATAGAGAAAATACCTTTATCATTGCTGCTGCTATGCAGAGTGTAGAGGGGCAGACCAGGGCCTGTTAACACAATTAGGGAAAAACATGTTTCAGATGAGGAAAAAAAAAAGCCTATTTTTCAAAATCGCGTGTTACCATTTAACTTTGACATAATTTTGATACCATTTAGCTTTGATATAATAAATATCATAGTAGATAAGGGGCTTAATAAGTGTTAGCTGTTTCTCATTTTCCTTAAAAGTAAGTGCAATTTGGCTGTAAGAAGTATTACTAGAAAGTCACAGGGTGCGGCAGAATGAAACAGAAAATGAACCTCTGGACCTGCTGGGTGCGTTGGCACATTATCACCCCTGGCCCATTTCCTCATCTGCTAACTAAGCTGTGGGGACCCCAGGGGAGCTGCTAGGCTTCGCTGCCGCTGGTCCGCGAAGGCGGCACCCGCGCTCAGGCCCCGCCTCCCGGGGCGGAGCTCGCAGCCGCGGGCGGGGCGGTCACCCTCCGCGGCCGCCCCCCTACCTCGCCGAGGAGTCCCGGAGACGGGGCACATTTGCACAGAGCCTGACTTGGATAAGCGATTCCTTCCTGGCAAGCAAAAGTGTTTTTTTCACACGCACATATCCTCACTATTTATCCCAACTGTGGTCGTTGCAGGGAGGAAGGTAATGCACCGAAAAGCTTTTCGTGAGCTATTTAATTTTGATAAATTTGGATAATATTAATGGTCACACTTGATCAGAACCACAGTGAAGGCATTATCCAGCCCTGGGGTTGAACCCTGGTTTACCTGCTGTGTGATTTACAACATATCTATGCTTCAGTCACTTCACATATATAATGAGGATCATACGTGGTTTTCTTAAGGATCAAGCAAGATCACGGATAGAAACATTTAGCCCAGTGCCTCGTATAAAACACGTGAACAAGAAATGGTGACTAAAAACAGTCACAGTAAAAAGCCATGAAGAAAAAATTAATAATAGCTAAGAAAGTATGACAACTGGGTTATTTGGCAATGGACAGTTCTTTCCAGAATATTCAGAATCTTTTTCTCATTTTGAGAAGTAATCTAGCATAGTGATTAGTGGAGGGCTTGGGAGGCAGAGGTCTGGATTTGAATTCTGTTGTGCCTCTTATTAGCTGTGTGACCTGTGGAAATCATGGCACCACTCCTTGCCCAGGTTTCCTCATTTACAATGAAGATCACAGTAATAACTATAGCAACAGAAGATGGGGCAGTGAGCAGTTTGAGTGGCAGGCGCCACCCCAGACATCTTCTCAGTTAAAGTAGCAAGTGCATAAAATAATGATTAAAAAAATCCATAATACATGTGTATATGGGGATGACGTGCCTGTTATACATAAGCTCTGTGTGTGTGCATTTGTGTGTGTTTTCAGTCTAAAGCAAGCCATTCAAGTGTGTTGATTAGAAAGGGGAGGAAAGGAGGTTAACTCACCACTTGCATGTGAGTGAAGGGGTCTTATTTGATTTCAAGAACTCTGCAGATTCAAAAGGTGTGAACTGGGCAGGGCAGAAAAGAATGTTTCCCAAACCGGATGCAGAGAGGGATGGGAAGACAGAGCCAGAAAATGGAAAGAAGGTGGTTCAGAGAGAGCAGGACACATCAGCTGGTGAATGAGATGGGAGGGAGGGCATGCAGGCTGCAGAGACAGAGGAAGCTACCTCAGAGAGCCGGTGTGAGTAGCTTCCTCTGCTCTCCTTTCGCAGGCAGTTCACACTTACCTGAACATCTCAGCTGATAGTACTTCGCCTCTTTACTAAATGATACAGAATAGTACTGACACCTTTCTGTATTCAGCTCACAACTAAGGCACGTCACTTTTGTGTGGTCATTAAGTTGGATTCTGTAAAATCAATGGTGGAAATTAAGTGCTTGATGAGAGAGTAAATGAACGAAAGGAATTGAATAATGCCATATTCTGGTTTAAAAGATATCAGATTGCCAAAACAATGCTCAAAAACTTTTTTGAAGCGTGAAAAAATATATGAATTAATTCATTATAGCCTCAAATGTCCCCTTGTTTGGAAATAAAACATCTAATAAAGTCATTCTCTTTTCCTGACACATGGAGGATTGATTTATAAAGGAATAAAAGGACTCATAGCAATTTCATTTAGGACAAGGCAGGAAAAAACCCCACAACCCAGAAATAATTCATCCACTAAAAAACTCAGGTCAACAACTTGATAGAGCTCTTACTTATAAAGATTTCTTCCTCCTGGCATTCCTTTATATTCATTACTAATGTAGTATCTGGGAAGAAAGCAAATGAAATATATATTAGTCACATTTTTCAGTAAGTCAAATACACTCCATTTAACTCAACACCAACCATTAGTGCATGCCCTTCCTTTATCTTACTCTCCTGTGCCCTCTTCCCTAAGAAGGCATTTCCCCCAACATCTCTAAATAGAAGAGTCTTTTTTTTTAATAGACTGAACTATCTAAATGCAGGGATTGCTCCCTTAATTAAAGTTACAAGTAAAATCTCAGAAGAAGTCTTCTGGAAGAATATGACTGGACAAGTAGCCTGAAGTTGAGACCTTGTTTATCTATGCTGTTTTCCTTATTTTCTCTTATCATAACACAAACTACTAAGTGTCAGGAGTAGTGCCATCTTCCGAAGAGCAGCAGAACCACTTCTAAAGAGGACCCCTCAAACTGCTCTGGGCAGTGGCAAAATTCCTCCCATGTGAAACCAACAAACATTAGAAACTAAGATTCTAATGAAAAATAGCCCTCCCTTTCCCAAGTCAGGTGTGGAGGTTGACAGCCTCCGCAACGCCTTCCATGTTCCAAAGAGTGAGGCCAAGATGTGGATGGATGAAATAGCCTCTCCAAGCCTTCCAAAAATTCACTGCCAGCTGAAATTTAACCAAATGCCCCTAAACATCAGTTCAGTGTTCCAAGATGTTAAAGAAAAAGAGGCTTCAGCTCTTCTAATGCAAAGCAGGTAAGAGCAAGAGGTAGAGCTGCTCGGTGGCGTGGAATCAAATCTGCGAAGCATATGTGAAAATCATTAAGGCTTCCGTATGTTAAAAAGCAAAAAGTACTGAACGCACTCCAAATAGACTGTTTTTTGTTTGTAGGAGATTTTTTCCCTATTTCTGGCCAAAGAGGGCATGATTATGACGAGTGTGTTCACATCCTGTCGATTCGCAGAATACTCACAGGTCGTCACTGGTAAGAGCTTCTATCCCGATGACTTCCCAGACTCCTTTTGTAATAAATGTGCAATTCTGATGGGATTTTTTACAAAGAGGCTTATTAGACTCTGATCAAAGTTAAGCAGAGGATTCAGTCATTTGTATCAAGAATTCAGATAATCTCTGGTCTTCTTCTTGGGTCTCTCCACCCCACCCACCTTACTCCAGACACCACCACCAGGAAATTTCAATTAGTCTGATTATTTGTATACATTGATCAACCTTGTCAAATGATTTCCATTCCAAGTTATTTTCATGAAAAGGAAATCAACCTGAAATAAAGTTTGTAAGAGTACTCACTTCCCTGTCTACTTGAAAATGGCAAATGTGTTTGTAGCCCTCTTTATTGCTGATGATCTTGTAGAAGCTATTGCCATCAGAGGTAAAATGAGGTTCCGAAGGCTTAAACTTGAAAATAATAGAAAACAGAAAGATCACATTAGAGCATGTGAGTCTCATCTCAGTACCAACTTTAGTTTTAAAAAAGTCCTACTAACACCTATGCTCAAAACCCATGCTTCATTTACTCGCCAAAGGAAACCTGAGTGTCTCAAAAGAAAAGTCCCCTTCTGGAGAATGCAGACAAAAAGATCTAAGTCCTAGGGAATTTTGTGTGCCGAGTAAATGATAGAACAAATGTAAAGAGGACACACAACACACAGTGGTGGTTATTGTCATTGGGTCTCTTCTCTCTGTGGAGGATAAAGCTATGACTTCTGGCTGAAAGTGTGCAAAAATTAACACGAGCCTTCAGTTTCCAGAAGTAAGTTTCCTCAATGTCACAGAAGTGCTTTCTTGAAGCACAGTATTACTTTTGACTGTTTCAGGCTGGAGATGGTCTGCAATTTGAGGGATTTTTTTTTCCCACTTGTTTTTTACACATACTTCTTTTCAAAGTCAGACTCAGAAAGTCTTTAACCATTTCTGGACTAGTTATTATAAGGAATGTCTGTTTTATATTTCGTATGGGAACCTTCATATATCATTTTTATTATAAGCCTTTTCATTTTGCTAAATAGGATCAACAGTTTAAAAAAAAGTTGTATGGAAATATAGAACAAAATTTCCATTTTTTACAGTTCGATAAAAGATCATTCTCAGAACATAATTAGTTTAAGCAGAAGAGTAGCTATCCCAGCCTGAAAGGAATATGTTGCTTTACGACTTCAATTTCCCTACTGCATTTGAGAGAAGGTAGGAGATGGTCTTTTAAAATTGTTGGTTCACTTCACCCTCGATGTTTCCTCTCTCATCAGCTCCCATTTTGGGAAGGAAGAAAAGTACTTACTTCTATTTAGTGATTCAAAGCGAATTCATTTATGGAGCAAGCTGAGGCGTGCAGTACACTTGGTGTTCTCATTACAGAGCTCTGAAACACATTCCCCTCTCTAGACCTGTGTTCACAGCCTTATCTTTTTAATACATTTCCCTGTTTCCCCTGGATGGAGTTGTGCCTAGTAGAAATGTGTGAAAAGTGGCATCTGTCTGGTTAAATACAGAGAGGAAAAAACATATTTTTTTTTCAAAGAGTCGTGAGGAAGTGTAGCGTGTCTCTTGCCATGGAGGAAACCACTTTTCATGTTGGCAAACCTCTTCCTTCTGCCCAATGAATGCCTGAAGGAAAAGGACGTGTGAGTGCGATCCGAGCTCCAAGTCCAGCTGGAGGGGTGCTGTTTCTGGACCAAGGGGCCTCACCTCTAGGCCCCAAGAGATGTGAAATCTTTACATTTCTCTGTGTCACTTTGTTTTTCTCTTAAAGAGGGCTTAATAGAAATGATCATAAGAATTAGGTGGGATTCATTCCTCATCTTTCCCATGAGATGCCATGATGGCCGGAGTTCATTCATTGACTTGCTTCATTCCACCGTCTTGCAGCCACGTGTAAGGTGGTGATTCTGCCCAAGGTACAGAGCAGTGGGAGTGCAAGCTTAAGAAGTCCCTGAGGGTCACTGCTTTTTTGGATGAAGCTATGCATCTGGGGTCTAGTAAAGTGCAAACCCACATGAGTATGTTTTCCTCCAAAGAGAGGTGCATAGCGGTGCGGTGTGTGTGCCGCTGATTTTCTGCTGAATATCATCATATTTCCTTATGCATTAGTGCAGGCTTTGGCTAGAAACTGTGTTTTTTGCCTCTGAAGCACAGAACTTCAAATATAGGGTCAAGTAGCACACCTGGCATCTTGGCTGCCTTTCAGCAACTGTGGCTTTATAACTTTCCAGGAGTTACAGTTGGCCTAGAGTGTCTTTGGTTTTGTTTGACCTTCTTTTGATTTTTCACTTTCCTTTTATTCTTTCCAAATGAGCATGTCATATATTCTCTACAAAAAGATAGCTCTACAGGAAGCATTTAAATATTTTGAGTAAAAAGTCAACTAATATCTCTATTAATAATAAATAATATGGGGATATATCTGTATATTAAATAGCTCTGAGTATCTGATCCATATTATAAGGAATCCCATAGCTCTTAAACACTTACTCTTCCAACCCAGCCAGTGGTACTGCTTTCGATGTGTTGCTGTCTCTGGGGGTGGAAAAATACAAAGGTGGTGTTTCAAAGAGAAGTAAGGCATGAATTGCATTCTTTAGCTGCAATTTGTGGTAAGATAAACAAAATCATACTTGAAACAATGAAAAACTATCTCCATTTATACATTTATATTTATGTTAGTAATTTGTATAGAATTACATTTATAATGATCAAGTACTTCTTTTGCACAGAGCCCTGTCCTGGGCCCTGGAAGCTCTGCCAGCATGTTTAATTCAACACGTACAGAACTGAACACAATGTTCTTATCTTTCCTCCATCTCCCCCAGCTGGTTCGTACTCCTTCATTCTCCTCCAGGCCAGTGGCGCCATTCACCCAAGCCAGAGATCTGGGGACCATTCTAGACGCCTGCTCTTCCCGCAGCAGCGCTGATCCCATCAGCCGGGTCTTTGGCTCCTGCTGCCCTTCGCCACTACACTGCCTACATTCACATCCCCCTCATGTTTCACTTGGTCCACTGTCCTGATCACCTGGTTGGAGCCCCTGCTGCTCTTCTCTCCTTCCATTCTGCTCTCTGCCCAGCTCACACCCCAGCTGACCTCATCTGACAACACAGAGTTCTATTTCCTTATGAGCCTCTCTGATTCAAAACCTTGAAATAGCCCCCCATTCTTCCAATATGAGTCCCAACACCTCACTCACAATGGCACCTGAGCCTTAGCCTATCTCTAACCCCGGTTCTTACCATAGGGCCTCTGCCCAGCCCCAGTCCTCTGTGCCCCGAGACCCTGCATGCTGGAAGTGTTCACACTGGATGCCTCTGCACAGCCTCCGCTCCTGGGGTCCTTGTGCTTTATCTGCCCAGCATCTAGCACCTTCTCTGAGACTGCTGCAGGCCTCTCTCATCCCACTGTGCCCACCCCCACTTGAATTCACCTTCTTATACCTTGAGTTCCCTCTTACCTTGCTTATATCTTTCTAGGGCACAATATCCTGATATTAGGAGGGTTTATTAGGAAGGAAGTAAAGAGCTTGGGTTTTTTTATTTGGATTCTTGCTCTCATGTGACCTAAGCAAGCTCCTTTACCTGACTGAGCCTCAGTCTCTACAATGTCTGGCTACTGTGAGCTTTAAAGAAATGGTAACTACTTCTATTGATTTCATTTTGGGGACAAGCATGCTAATTCATTTTTTTTTTTTTTAATATCCAGAGCTATGCTCAAAGCTTGCAATGTAACAGGTATTAAATGTTTGCTGCATAAATAAATGAGTGAGTGAATCAAGGTACAGGTGTCCAGGCTTTCTGATATGAGAATCTGCTCTGTGGCCAACCAGGATGGGAGCAGGGAGAGGAGGTGTGTAGACGCGGAGCCTATGACCAGGAAGGGCTTGTGCAGGTACCCTTGACACGTACTAGTAAACCTTCCCCAGGCTCTACCCTTCCTGGGGCTGCTGGCTCCCACCAGGGCTTTAATTCAGACCCACCAGCTTGGCTGGATCTTGTGGTCTCTTGGCTGGAACCCCTCCGCCACCTCAAGGATGGAGTAGTACCTGCCTTTACCTTCATGTGGCCACCCTCTCCGCTGGGTAGCTATCTCCTTACATTCTGAAGTTGTTTACTGCTTAAAGAGAGTTCCTCTGGTATGGTAATAATTTGTGGCTGCTTGATATTTGTTTTGTTTCCTATATACTCAGCCAATTGTTCCTCACACACTGTGTTTTCTCTGTTGAAACACACTGCATTGGCCTTGTGGTCCCTGGCCCTCTTGGACTTCTTGAAATTTGCCATCAAATTATATCTTCTGGGTTTCCCATCACTGCCACCGCCCCACCCTCCCCACCCCCAATCCCAGGTGATAGTATCCACAACCAGACAGGGTCCCTGACCAGTGAGCGAAGGTGAAATAAAATACCACCAGATAGCTGATGATCTTCAAGCCAGTCAAGACGTACCCACTGCTGCAGGGTCAGGCATAGAGTCAGAAAGAACAGAAGCTCAAACTTCATTTTCTGATTCCCAGTTAGTTGTGTCCCTGTTTTCACCCAGCCCTCGGATCACATGCAGCGTTAGAAGCAGCACATGCCCATGCGACCTTACCACGTGGGAAGCCCATCTGCCAGTGGGCTTATCGTAGTCACAGATCGCCAGGACTGAGTAGTTCTGAATCCTCCGGAGCCACTGCAAAGAAATCCTTTCTTCGTTTACCCACGTCACATCACACAAGTAGTGATCCCTGGAAGGAAGGAAGGAAGAAAGGAAGGAAGGAAGGAAGGAGGGAGAATAATTATGTCCAGAACTTGGCCCAAATAGACATTTTACTCAATGAAATCAATCTTAATGGCAATATAATTTCAAATGGTTGCGGAAACCATTTAATGCTATAATGTTTATCCTTTCCTTAAAGCTTAAAGTGTAATTTAATTTTGAATGGAAATTAAAATATATCTAACAGGAAAAGCAGCAGCTAACATACAGTGGTGAGCACACATAAGGCACACCGCGTGGCTCAGGATTTTTTAAGTCCTTAACTTCACTGCCTTTGGCCGGTGCCAGGGGGTCTGGGGTGACATTTTCCCATCTCTTTTCTGCTGTCTTTAAGGAGCATTACAGTGAGGCCAGGGACACTGTTGAGATTCAAGTATTTTCTGGTAATTTGAAATGCTTCTCACAAAAACTCTTCCTTTTGGGGTGAAACTACAGCTGATCCTTGTCTCAACTTCATTTTGAAATGGGAAAAAAATTGACTCACATCTTTACCAACTTTGCATATCAAGCAGTTACATTATAAACAACTTTTCTCAAGAGTCAAAACATGAGCCATGTAAAGAAATTAGGGTACCTTTTGGTGTTTCTTTTTTAACATAAATTTATGCAAAAAGAAATTACCCTAGAGTGCGTCCTCTTCCAACACGTATCTTTACAAATTTTTGGAACTCCATTTTGATTTACAGCAAAACACATGGAATTGATAATTCACTTTTCTGCTAGTCTCCCCTAAATATTAGCTCTGGATAGTATATTTTATTTTATTTGCTCCCCCCGCCCCGGATTTTGTCTCCAGTGTCTGATCAAAGCCTTGCTCCCTTTTGTCAAGATTCCAGTGGAATTGTTGTTTGATCAAAGCCTTGCTCCCTGTTGTCAGGATTACAAAGGCATCATCGTTTCTTCCCCCTCCTTCCTGTTTGGCCCTATGGCCATTTCCCTCTTGTCATGCCAAATGCCCCCAGACACAACCTTGCCATTTCCTGCTTGGGCTGTGCCACCAGCTCCTCTGGTCCCTTTGCTCTCCTGGCTTGACTGCCAGCTCTCCCTGGCAGGGCTGCGGCTATCTTGCTCACTGGTTATCCCCCAGGGCCTCTTAGAACACCTGGCACAAAACAAACTCCCACTAAAATTCTCTGGAATGCTGCACACAGGCACAAACCCCAGCCTGTTCTTTCTGGCCTCAATAGCTGTGTCCTGCTTCAGAAATCACAGACCACTCCTTTCACAGATGCTAAATCAAATGACAAATATTTGATGGATCCAGTGCAGGGTAAAGCATTTCAAATCCTTCAAAACTTCACTACCCACCTTTTATCACTGCTTTAAGGCCCCCAGGGTACCTGAGCCTGCAGGCCGTCCTCACCACAGGTGCAGGTCCTAAGAGAAGACCAAACCCCTTCACCCGCAGCAAAGCATTACATTCCTGTAATCGGGGACTCCGCTCTGTTTCCGTCCTTCCTCTTGCTGTCCACCATTGAGTCTGCATGGCTGGTGCTCCATGAACAAGCGTGAGGTTTCCCAGCTGCCCACCTTTGTTCAGCCTGGCCTGCAGTCTGAAACGACTGCCATGCTCTCACTTCCTTAAGTCCTACTCAAATATCCCCTGTCCATGATGCTTTCCTGGAAAACCTCTCCTTCTTCACTGCGCTCACCAGACGTAAAGCATGTATGTCAGACTGTCAGGCTGCGGGTTGAGGGTGTGAATGCTTCTCTGCACGTACAGGAGCAAGGGCGCCTCGTCTAGCCTTACTCTTCTGCGTTGTACACAGGGCAGAGGCGTTAACTGAGAAAATGGGAAGGCAAGTTAATCTTACTGGGGGTAGGGAAGAAAGACAAAGGGAATGAAGAATGAAACTTAAGATAGAAAATGAAACTTGTGAAGTGAATTTTCTAGACCAGGGGTCAGAAAACTTGCTCTGTAAAGGGCCAGAGAGTAAATATTTTAAGCTTTTGGGGCCACATGTTTTCTGTCACAACAACTCAACTCTCTGTTTGCAGCACAAAAACCTCATGTAACCAGGTGAGTGCGGCTGCCTGCCGATGAAACACTCAGATTTGAAGTTCATGTAATTTTCACATGTCATGAAATAATATTCTTTTGATTTTTCTTCCCAACCATTCAAACATGTAAAAACCATTCTTACTTGCAAACCAGGCACAGAAGCAGGGGGTGGGTCTGGATTTGCCTGGTGGGCCCTGGTGTGCTAACCTCTGCTCTACGTCAGTAGCTCTTACTATTTTAGGTCAAAAACCTTTTGTAAATCTGATAAAAATCATGTGCCTCTCTTTACAGGGAAAGAAAAAAAAGAAAAGCCTTTCCACATACGTGCACACATTTTCCAAAGATTCTATGGACATCAACTAGGAACAGCGGGTATAGCAACAGCCTTCCCCTTTTCTAAGGTGGCCTTGTTAGGGGAAGGGCTGGTAAGGGGGGAGAAGAAGAATCTTTAATAGGATTAGTGGGTCACCTGCACTAACTGCTTCATCTACTAAAAGCCATAAATTATACTCCGGGTTCAGAAATCAGCAGTAGAAAACATTGCATAATGGAATTTGGGAAGTCTGCCAGGAAACTCATGTGCATCTGGTGTCTTCCCTGCACATTTCTAGATCAAAGGTCAGAAACCTGTGTCCACTATCTTTGTCACTCTCTGCAGCCCAAGGTGTCCTCTGTGCCCTGGTTCACCAGCAAAGTGGAAAGGAAGTTTTGAATTCTTATATAAACATATTTCCCTTACAAATATAATTTCTCTTTAGAACTTGAAATTAGGGGAGACAGAATGTGGGTGTATAACCCAGCTGTGAACTGAGATCGTGCCGAGATGTCAGTGAGTCATGAAAAATTTATAGATAAAAGAACCAACAGCTCAATCCTATTTTTTTACCTGAAGGTTTAAATCTCCACTGAAGAATGCAGCAGCCCAGTTTGAAAAAGACATAAGCACCCCTATGTTTATTGCTGCACTGTTTACAATAGCCAAGGAATGGAAGCAACCTAAGTGTCCATCAGTAGCTGAATGGATAAAGAAGATGTGGTACATATACACAATGGAATATTTTTCAGCCATAAGAAGAAAACAAATCCTACCATTTGCTACAACATGGATGGAGCTAGAGGGTATTATGCTCAGTGCAATAAGCCAGGCGGAGAAAGACAAGTACCAAATGATTTCACTCACATGTGGAGTATAAGAACAAAGAAAAAACTGAAGGAGCAAAACAGCAGTAGACTCACAGAACCCAAGAATGGACTAACAGTTACCAAAGGGAAAGGGACTGGGGAGGATGGGTGGGAAGGGAGGGATAAGGGGGAAAAAGGGGCATTACGATCAGCACACATTATGTGGCTGGGGGTGGGGCACAGGGAAGGCAGTACAGCACAGTACAGAGAAGACAAGTAGTGATTCTATAGCATCTTACTACGCTGATGGACAGTGACTGTAGTGGGGTATGTGGTGGGGACTTGATAATAGGGGAATCTAGTAACCATTATGTTGCTCATGTAATTGTACATTAATGATAACAAAATAAAAAAAAATCTCTACTGAAGACTGGAAAAGCCCAACAAACAGGATTATTAACTATCCTTTGTACTACATGCTTATTTTATTCTGTACTGATGGAGAGGCAAATACTGAGTAGACTTTGGTCAGGTAATGGTTGGGGGAGGGGTGGGAGGGCATTGGAACAGGCAGCCTGGCACAGACTATATTAGACACAGTCATTCAACAAGCTCTGCTAGCTTCTGGGATGGGATTAGAATATTAAAGCAATGAGTCATTCCTGGATGTAATAAATATCCACACCCATGTGGAATCTACTATGTGCCAGGAACTGTGCAAAGTGCTTGACATAAAGTTTATGACCACTCTATTAGGTAGGAACCTACCTCAGAATTCATGTTTTGCAGCCAAGGAAAGGGAAGATTAGAGAGGTTAAGTAACTTGTTCAATGTCACACCCTGGAAAGTGGACCCGGATGGTTGGCATCAGATTTTCTGAAGTTGCTTCTTTGGTTGGGTCTCCACCCACCTGTCCAGTAAACCCTGCTAGCTGGCCTCATCCTCTTTGCTTCTTTTCAGGGATAAAATTCTTCACTCCACAAAGTATAGTTATTCCTAGAGTGTGTGTAAATGAAATAACTGAATTTTATGAAGCAAATCGTATTTGAATGCACTGGGAGACATGTGCTCGGAGAGTCGTACTACAGGGAATCCCTTTGTCAAGTGACTGTGGACTTGTGAAGAATAGGCATTTAATACATGTCTGTTGAGTGACATTAATTCCCCTAATTTGAGTAAATTTTTTTTTGTTATTAAGGACACTAAATTATGCATTACTAACTGGGAAGAATATTGGAGAGAAAACAGCTACTCAGAGTGACTGCAGACGGTGGAGTGATTAATTCAGTGAATCACCCAAGGAAGCGGGCGTTCCTCCAGTGGTGGCCATGGGCTCCACGCCACCTGCCACTCTGATAGGGATGCCAACCGTCCTGGGTGGTGAGGGACCACTGCGGAGCGGAACAGCAGGCTGAGATGGAGCAGGTCTGAGGCATCAGGAGCCACAGCATGTGCACTGTCACTCTGCCTTCTTTGTTGCAGGTGTCCCTAGCTTCCAGGGTATGTCAGTCTAGTTCCTCTATCTCTTGGGGGATGATTGCAGTCCTTGATGTCCCAACGTAAAGACAAAGGTCATCAACTGTTCAGAAGAGATATTACCAACAAACAGGATTATTAACTATCCTTTGTACTACATGCTTATTTTATTCTGTACTGATGGAGAGGCAAATACTGAGTAGACTTTGGTCAGGTAATGGTTGGGGGAGGGGTGGGAGGGCATTGGAACAGGCAGCCTGGCACAGACTATGTTAGACACAGTCATTCAACAAGCTCTGCTAGCTTCTGGGATGGGATTAGAATATTAAAGCAATGAGTCATTCCTGGATGTAATAAATATCCACACCCATGTGGAATCTACTATGTGCCAGGAACTGTGCAAAGTGCTTGACATAAAGTTTATGACCACTCTATTAGGTAGGAACCTACCTCAGAATTCATGTTTTGCAGCCAAGGAAAGGGAAGATTAGAGAGGTTAAGTAACTTGTTCAATGTCACACCTTGGAAAGTGGACCCGGATGGTTGGCATCAGATTTTCTGAAGTTGCTTCTTTGGTTGGGTCTCCACCCACCTGTCCAGTAAACCCTGCTAGCTGGCCTCATCCTCTTTGCTTCTTTTCAGGGATAAAATTCTTCACTCCACAAAGTATAGTTATTCCTAGAGTGTGTGTAAATGAAATAACTGAATTTTATGAAGCAAATCGTATTTGAATGCACTGGGAGACATGTGCTCGGAGAGTCGTACTACAGGGAATCCCTTTGTCAAGTGACTGTGGACTTGTGAAGAATAGGCATTTAATACATGTCTGTTGAGTGACATTAATTCCCCTAATTTGAGTAAATTTTTTTTTGTTATTAAGGACACTAAATTATGCATTACTAACTGGGAAGAATATTGGAGAGAAAACAGCTACTCAGAGTGACTGCAGACGGTGGAGTGATTAATTCAGTGAATCACCCAAGGAAGCGGGCGTTCCTCCAGTGGTGGCCATGGGCTCCACGCCACCTGCCACTCTGATAGGGATGCCAACCGTCCTGGGTGGTGAGGGACCACTGCGGAGCGGAACAGCAGGCTGAGATGGAGCAGGTCTGAGGCATCAGGAGCCACAGCATGTGCACTGTCACTCTGCCTTCTTTGTTGCAGGTGTCCCTAGCTTCCAGGGTATGTCAGTCTAGTTCCTCTATCTCTTGGGGGATGATTGCAGTCCTTGATGTCCCAACGTAAAGACAAAGGTCATCAACTGTTCAGAAGAGATATTTATTGCATCCCTTAGGAGCAAAAAGAATGGAGTGGATCGGGTCATGAGTGTGCTGGGCCCCACAGCCATGTAGCAGATGTCGGGTGTGGTCACCTCAGCAGACCACACCCTCCCCAGTCCCCTAGCTTCAGACCACAGATCTTGCAGATGGCTGGGAGGAGGCAGAAAACAGAGATTGCTATGCAAAGTCATGTTGAAGGCCACCTTTGGTGCTGGCTATATAAACTTCTATTCCACACACACAAGTCACATGTAAAATGCACTTCATCCATCTATATGCATCAGTTTACCCATTCAGTCTACAAATACTGACTGGGCACTTGCTAGGTTCCGGGCATCCTGCTAGGCACTGGAGATATCATAAGATTGGCCCTGACCTGTGAAGCATGGCTCTAAATCAAGCAGTTAGCAGATTAATGCTTTTACATTATATTGTTTTCTCTCAAAGTTTTGAGCTCTCAAATTCTCATTATGAGTAGTTAATATAAGGAAACAGCCTAACAAATCTAATTAAGATAAGCTCTAAATCCATGAGGGTGGTGGGGAAGCTCTGGAGTCAAGTCAGGCTCAGATTGCTGGATTTGCAATTCCCTGTATGACACATTGTGGTGGGATTTCCAAAAACAATTCTTCGGTAAAATGCATTCAGTACACAATTCCCCAGTGAGTGAGGCAGACCTCACTGTCAGTGTGGTGTAAAGAATTACAAAGAACAAAGATGTACTGATTCATTCTGGGCAAAAATAAATCCTTAGAACTGCTGAAGTTTTCTGAGCTCAGCAATTCAAACTGTGCTTGCAGAGTGATTTTGATGTGGAGAAGATTCTCTCTCTTCATCTGTGAGATGGCCATATAAATGACACATAGAGAGTGTGGGGCAGTAAACGAGATCTGAGCAGGACACCAAGCACTGGAAACACACAGTACATTTTAACTCGATTATTCAAGTACCCTAGCCTGGCAGAGGCGGGCCTCTCTCCTACCCCCAGCTCCCATGGTGACTTGCTGTGTGACCTTGAGTAAATGGGTTTACCTTTCTGAGCCTCAGTTTTCCCATAGGTGTCTCACAGGGATGTTCTGAGTGTTTCCTGGAACCCCTGCAGGTTCTAACTTCTTGAGACTCCTGAGAGAGGGGAGGGAACCAGAACTAGGCCGCAGCCTACGTAGCACTCCTGTGTTTGTTACCTGCCACTTCCCTTCTGTTATACTTCATTTGAACAAAGGTTTCTGGGTCTTTAAAAAAAATCGGTAAACCACTGGTGAAGTCTAAAGCCCCTTCCAGGCCAGACATTTCTCAGAGCAGGAGCGCATGGCTCACCCTGCCTATAGACGTATATGGGTTGTAGACCAAGAGGTCACACCAGGCCTTGCTGCTCTGTGCCTGGCCAGCCCTGGGCCTTCACTCGCTCTGTGTTCCTTCCACTGCAGCGCTCTGCTGGAAGCCCCCTGTTTCACCCGCACCCCCTCCAGGATGCTTTCTTTGATCCCCAGGGTCATGGAAATCCCGTCTCCCTCTCCTCAGAATGCCTGCAGCCTTTGGCTTATATCTCTGTCATACTCGCTTTTGGAGTCACTCACAGTGTGGTATATCCTCTACCTGATCATAGCTGCTCACTGTAGAGCGCTCAGCTCCACAGACATTTTAGTACAGTGGGCATTCAGCCAATGCTGATTGAAGACATGGCTGGATGGCACCTAACAGCACACATGAGAGCCTCTGGGCAAATTTCTGTATCCTTGCACAAACTCAGCAAAATAAGTATTTTTTAATTTACTGATAACTGATTTTCCTCCAGAATGACTATGTTAATACAGATATTTCTAACCAAGTTTGGTGCATTAGTAACCACAGAGCCTAGCCTACAGCATGCAAGCTGTAGCAAATGTGACCCTGTGGAGGAGGAGGATGCTTCCGTACTGCTCTGATGACAACTTCAGGGATCTGAGCGCACCAGCTGCATTCACAGAGCAGGGGGAGCCCCTGGGAGAGGGCTTCGGAGCTTTGCCTTTCAAGTCAGAGAGACAGGTTTGAATACAGATGCTACTCAGTCATTGTCTTAAGCTCTAGACCTCATTTTCTAATCTCCAAACAGGCATGTAATAATAATTTTAGAAAGAGAGAGTGACTTCAAAGATTAATAAGATAAAGCATGTAATAATGCCCTGTGTCTGGTACATAGCGAATGCTCAAAATACTAGTTATTATTTAAAAGTTAACAACAAAACCAATGTGAGTAACAGAAATGAGTGGAGAGCAACTTGGTAGCCATAAATTTCATGCAATATTGTAGTTAATCTTTACGGGAAAATAAGAGGAGCCTGAGGGTACTCAATGGCAGCATTTCAGATCATCAAGGATTATTTAAATAGTGACATCCTGAAGCACATCGGTGTCACAGAGCTCCTTAAATCTGGTCCATAGTTTATCTGAATTTCTGTAGTTCTTACAAGGACCTGCAAAGCCCTGTGCGATCAGAACCTGCTCCTATCCCTCCCCTCTCCACACAGAAGACTCTGGTCACCGTGGCCTCCTCCACGCCCTCTAAGGCACCAAGCATGTTCCCTCTGCTCGGTCTTTGCATTTGCTCTTCGTCTGCCCAGATATTGTGCCCCCAGCTATGCGTGTGACTAGAGGCCCTTATTTTTTCATGTCGCTGCTCACAGGTCATCTCATCAGGGAGTGTTTCCCTGAACTCCGCCACCATCACCATCACCTTTGCCTTGCTTTGGTTGTCTTCACAACCGCTGGCACCACCTGCAATTATGTATCTTTGATTATCTGAATGTTTTTGGCCTCCTCAACTTTGAGTGTAGGCTCCATGACACCAGGGACTCTGGGTGGGCTCTGCATTCACCATGCAGCCCCATCACTGGATGCTCAGCATGCAGACATGACATGGGTGCTCAACCAACTGGTTGAATGAAGGAATGAATGGCTTCCTGCCCAGGTGGCACAATGGAATGCTACCACTGATGCTACCATTCACTTTTTAAATGTCCTTTGTGGTAGCTGGCAGCTGTGACACTATTTACAACCCAAGAATTTAGGTCAAGAGTCTTACCCTATTAACACAGAAGCTGGAGGAACGACTTGTACAGAAGTTGCATTGGCCGTTGAGTTGAGAGAGTCAGTATTTACAACAAATAACTTTACAGTTGGATTCGCAGCTCCTGCCTATGAAAAAACAATCCTTGAATTGGTATTGGCAAAAAATATAACATCATTGCACAAGTTTGAAACTACAAAAATGTCTACATTGCAGCCATAAGATTATAACAATCAGGCACAAACAATTTAATAGAGATAAAATGAACATAAAGGAAAATCATGAAAAGCCACGTTTTGGTGTTCAGGTAGAAACTTACATGTGTGTATATATGTGTGTGTGTGTGTGTATACATATATATATGTGATGTGAAGGCCAAAACATTCCTTTTAAATAATAAATATTGGTAATTTACATACTTGAGCAAACAAAAATAAGCTTCTTAAAATCAGTTCTATTATTTTTCAAATACACCCTGACGCCAGAAGATAAAATGTGTGATGATTGACAGCTAGAGAGAATACCTTGGGTTCATTCAGCAAAGACACAATCCACAGGAAAACTAGTTTACCTCAACCAAGAGCCAGTAATGCTACTTAGGGAGCTATTATTTCCACTCCAAATTCAGATTCACCATGTTGGATCTTTGCAATCAATATTATAACAGAAATCTATAAAACCTCTTTATATATACACATTGATCTTCGATCGACAAATTAGTTAGAAATAATATAAAATTTAAATGCGGATATTTAAGGTTTGTGGAGTTTTTGCCAGTTTCACTCATCAAAAAAAATGTTACACAATCCACAGGAAAACTAGTTTACCTCAACCAAGAGCCAGTAATGCTACTTAGGGAGCTATTATTTCCACTCCAAATTCAGATTCACCATGTTGGATCTTTGCAATCAATATTATAACAGAAATCTATAAAACACATTGATCTTCGATCGACAAATTAGTTAGAAATAATATAAAATTTAAATGCGGATATTTAAGGTTTGTGGAGTTTTTGCCAGTTTCACTCATCAAAAAAAATGTTTCATCTCCATTTTCAGTCTCTAATCCTTTTTTTTTCTCTTAACTTTCTCTGTCTTCCTAAAATGGCAGTTCTTCATAAAGCAAATTGAGTGAGTTGTTAAAATTAAAATTCATTTTCCAAAACTGCTTACAGCAAAAACACTTTGCTGTTAGGTGTTCCTACAGATGATACTGCAGCCATTGTTATTATACTAGGTGAGGAAACCTGGTCCCCTTCCATAGCCTCCTCCTCCTCAGCTAATGCCGCTTGATAAAGCTCTTCAATTTTTATAGACTTGCACCTTGGAGGGAAGAACAGCCTTGAAAACCAAAACGTGACGCTGTTATTCCAAATGTAGGGCGGGTGACATTTACATTAGTGTCAAATCTATAATAGAATCACTAAAACTAGTCATGTATCCATTAATTATAGATCTGTCATTAATGTACCTATAATCATGCATCCACAATATACCCTGATATATAACCAAGCTTTTCAACTTCATCTAGGGCACATTCCACCTTTTACAAATGAGATGGGTTGTGATTCAGTTACAGCCTCTCTTTTCCTCCATTCAAACATTTTCATCCCCCCTACCTCTTTCAAAAGCATTTTCCCCATCTTTTTCAGCTTGTCATTCCTCAAAGTTTTTGGAGAAATTACAAAACCTTAAATCACACTCTTTCCTGGGATAATAAAAATACTTTAAAATTGCCAGATGCTGTTGACTTCAGAAAGAGTAATCACAGCAAGCTGTTGAAGAGAGACTGACAATATTTTCATTAGCAGGAAAGGATTAAATGAAACCATTCTTTTCCCATCAAATCACAGAACTACTACATGGGTAGGAGCACAGACCTTCGGATATGGAACTTGCATAGTCTTTGGGTACTGCAGTGACTCATCAGAGTAGAAGGAGTATTCGATAAGCGGGACTTCTGTGTCGTTAAATTGGGCATATGCTAAAAAAGTGCCGTTTGGAGACCACCACAGAGCGGAGTAGGCACTGAAGACTTCCTCTGAAAAGAGACATAAATTGTTCTGTTACAAGAAGGAGCTGATAAATTGGCTTTGGCATTCAAAATATTGTTCTCATTAGCTTTAGTAATTACAGTAGAGTTCAACTAATGAACCGCTTTGCATTTGCTGGGCTTCCAAAATCAGAGTAATACAAATGACTAAAAATAAATTCTTCAAGGATAGATCTCGATTGTAAAAATAAGTAACCCGTTGGACCATTTGAGAATATTTTAGCACACAATATTTAATATACGCTTTACATTTTTTTTCTTTATCTTATAATCCTCTAAATTTATGCTGCAAAACATACTAAAAGTAAATTTCACACAGGGGCTGATTCTCCTCTCTGATTTTCAAACAGTCAACATGCCAGTAACGTCTCCCCAACTGGGCTCAGTCTGTACTGAGCCTGCAGGGTACTGGTGGGTGGTGTGTGGCTCCAGGCTATCAAACTAATATGGTGCCCGCAGTTGACTCCTCTTGGCACAAGCAGGGTGTGGGGAGGGTGGATTTAGAATAGCAAGGAGCTCTGTGAGACCCCTAATGAGAAACACCTCCTCAGCCTAGGAACCAGAGACTCCCTTGGATTAGCGTCTCCTCTGGTTAATCCTCACGGGTGGGTGTGGGGAGAGGGTCAAGGAGGAGGCAGATGCAAGGGAAGCCACCGGTCTCCTCCTCAATCTCTGGCAATTGGAGCTCCTTCCCGTGTTTATTACGGAGTCTATTTGTAGGGCTCCCCATCTCCGGACCTTAAAATGCCAAAACCTCTTTTGCCAACTGGAAAGGAGGTTTCCAGAAGCCGTGGAAGGAGACTCCTGGTCCTTTCTGCAGATTTAACCCACAAATCTCATCTTCTGTTGCGAATGTAAATGTAAAAGCAGAAGCATAGACACTTGAATCTTAGAGTTAGGAAATCATCTATCTTTATCACTTTTCTGATTCTCAAGGAATCTGTACAAATTTCTTCCAAATGCTTGTTTTTAATAATAATGATAATAGTAATAGTAGTACCAGTAACAATAGTAATATAATATAATAGTAATTATCTTGATGAGCAGCTGACATTTAGTGAGTGCAAACCATGCACCAGACATTGAAAAGCACCTGGCATCTATTATCTCAGTTAATCCTCAAAATAACTCATTGTGCCAATGATCAAGAGAGGCAGGCAGGATTAAAGAAAATAATTAATTTGCCCAGGGGTCATATGGGCAATAATTGATAGAATCATGAGTGAATCCAGGCCTTCTTGGCTTGAGGCCATGCTTTTCATCTCCATGCTCCACTGTCTCTGCTTATTTCAGCACTTCTAGTAACAAAGAACCCTTCTACTGGGTAAGGCAGCCTGCCCCTCCTTTGCCTGCTTTATACCTGTATCATTGAATAACATTACATAGCAATTTAGATAAAAGCCTTATCTAATTTAGTTTACATGAAGATCCCTTAGTGGGTCTATTTATAGCCCATTTTACAGACAAGGCAACAAAGGCTTAGAGGGATTGAACTAATTGCCAGAGACAAGAACTAAGGCACAGGCCTTGTGATCCCAAGTCACAGGGTTTCCTGCTAAGAACTCTTCATATACTGAGTCTCTGATGTCTCATTCTTGTGGATTCCGCCCATTGGTTGTAAACTAAGATCAAGATACAATTACATAAAATAAAAACAATTAGAGCAAGGTTGAGGTTTTTAAAAATACTTTCAAGTACAGGTAGCAGGTAGTGTTCTGTGTTCTGAATTAGTAGTTACTTAGAATACAGAACATATTTTTTGGCTATTGATGATATATTCAAATCATTATTATAAAACTACTTCTGGTCAAACTCAAAGTCCTGAGAATGAAAAGACCACGAGTAGGAAGAAGAGAACAGCAAAGAAAGGAAAAGATTTCCAGCCCTTCCTGATACCAAGCTAGCTGTGAGCACAGCATCTGTGATACCTCCCGTTCTGCAGCTCTGCCCATCCTCATGTGCCCCTTGATGTAACATTCTTCCCTGAAGAGGGCTTTTAATTCGCTCAATGATAATTTGTTGGTATCTTTCTCCGCCTCTCTGGGATGAATTCCCCGAGAGCACCAGTTGGGTGACACTTGTCTCTGTGTCCCCAGCACTGGGCACAACCTCTGGGAGGTGGCCGACACTCATCGTGAACTGCGCTGAATTGCCCACCCCACTGTCAATGCTCCAACTTCAAGGTGGGTAACGAGTGCTCTGTCTTCCAAAACGGTTTCTTTCTCTATCTCTTCTCATCCTTGCTCTCACCAAACTTTCACTTGCAGCTCTGGGTTAGGTAAACCACATTTATACTCAAGAGTGATTGTCCTGTAATTAGCTTGCTATTGGGAGACAAAGTATTATCATTTGAAAAAGAAGACACTTACTAACTAAAGTAATAGGCTTCATGAAATAAGACAAAGTGAAAACAGAAATTGAGAGAGAAAGCTATTTGGGAACATGGATGAGGAGGGGGCACAAGTGACTCTGCCCTGTGAGTGTCCCTCCACAGTGTGGCACATGGCCCTTTGTGGACCATGCAACTTTATTTGTTCTTTACTTATGAACCTACAGATTCTCAAAATGTACTCTCTTTTGATCCCAAACAGTCTTCATGGCATGGTGGAGACCCTGACTTCAACTGGGGGTGGACCTGCTATATGGGGAAACAGCTGTGCTCTTTTCTAAGTATGGATTATTTGTAAATATACAAAACCAGTTGTAGGAATTTCCCTGTAGAGACCAAAGTCTCATTTTTAGAGACAGGTCTCCATTAGGACTGTGAAGCCATTCTGCTTGTGAATGGCTTAGTCACCAACAAGCAAAATGACAGCCTCTAGCTATTATGTACCTGAGAATGGGTGTGAGTGCTAAGCGTGTTCTTAAGAGATGCCCTAATGTTTGGAGGAAGGGTCTGGTCACAGCTTTGGGAAGATAATCAAACACTTATTTCTGAGCCATGGGAATTTATCTTTGTCTTAAAAAGATTTTTAGAATTGTTGTTATAATATTATCCATTTAATGAAACTTGATTTGATCTGGGTAAGAACCAAAATTAAGTCATGAAAAAAAGCTTTTTTTTTTTAAACCATAAGGAAATAATAGGATGAAATAAGGATGAGTCTTTAATAAGCACCAGACAACCTTGTGAACAGCTTGGAACCCTCAAAATGCCTCTTACCTTGGCAACTATAGACATGACAAAATATTTTTCTAATGTTTTCTAAAACTCTTCATCTTAAAAGAGAATAATCTTTTTCTAACATTTTAGTTTTTTTCTCTTTTACCTATTTTTTTCCCCCTAAGCCTTTCTAATTATTTTTTTCTTCTTTACGAACAAGATGTTACGACTTCTCCAGGCTCAAATGAACATGAATCCTCCGTAAAACAGACAATTCTTCCCCTTTACAACCCAACCTCTGGACAGTATTTTGTCATCTTTTGGGATGTTGTGGGAGTATTTACCTTTCCTTAGTAATTTCTGGGTCAGGTAGGTCCAGCTAGAGAAACACCTGATGCTAATCTGGAGGCCTTTATGCTCCAGTAAAGCAGAAAAGTTACCTAAAACAGAAAGGTTCTTTGTCGCAGCAGACAGAAGACAGTAGGAGCATTGAGAGACAATGAGGGCAAAAGCAGCCCTGGCTACTGCTGAGAAATTCTTGTTCTACGAGATATCTGGTGGTGTGAGTCCTAAAAGAAATTTGATGACTTTTTAAGATGCAACTTACTTTGAATGCTGTTGAACTTCCCTATTAAAAAAAAAAGTTTAACTGTTTTTAAAAACGTAGAGATTTTCTGAATTTGAAAAAGCCTGAAAGTCTCTACCTTCATAAACCCAGTCAGTTATTCCATTATATATTACATCTTCTTTCCCAGTCCATGTGATCCTCTGACTTTGTAAATTTGGTTCCTTTTTAATATAAATGTCATTATGCCAAACGTATGCCTAGAAAGATTGAAAAAAATATTGATAAGTAATAGCATCCTATATGTCATCCTGGAGATTTAAAAAGCACATCATCAATTATTTTATCCTAAAAAAACTGGTGTCAAGTGTACAGATTACATTAGGTTTTTCAATTTGAACAATTTGCTCCTTCTCCCTCACATTCTTAAGTTGTAAGTATCGGAGCTCTAACCCACAAACAACCCAAAAAACACTGTGCTTTGCATTTCTTTCTGGAGCCGGGAGTGCTGTTGTATGTAGGGAGGGAGAAGTTCAAGTACAGATAAACATTCTGTCTTCCTGTTTATATTCTTTGGGGCTTCTGACATTCTCCTAGCACTATAGAACATGAAGACATATCTAGAGTGACACAGAGAAGGTCACAGAAGTAGCAGAAAGCAGGTATGCCTCAAAAAAAACAAACACAAAAAGTACAACCAAAGTTAGAATTTAAGAGTTTAATGAGCATTTCCCCCTGTAAACTATAAATTAACAATTCCCTAACAGTAGCTCAGAAACTTTCAGGAATTGCATTTAGCATGTTAGACTAGTAAAAATATTATTCTAAGCATTAATACCATATTTGACAGTGAAATATTGGCTTCCTAAGAGCCTGCTCTCTCTCAGGGTGCATAGCTCCTGCCTATGAGAGATTGGAGCTGTTATTTTTCTGACAAGGAGAGACTCACTAACCAATTTATGACCCACTGGTGACCATGTGATCCACTGCGTATTGTTTGGAATTCTTTCTTCTGTAATCAGCTGCCTGGAAAAAAAAAAAATAAAAGAAAAAATTACAAAGTGAATTAATCACAGTGGGATTGCTTTTTTTTTTAAATTGTCATTATACTACAAAAGTGTAGTAGATTTTTTGAGGAAGCCACTGACCTTTTATGTAAGTCATAAATGTCATATGAAGCTGTGTAGGAATGCCTCCATTTCTATAAAAGAAAACAGATGTTTCAGGCTTCTGTGATTCTTAACAGTTTGGCCACTTAGGAGCTCAAGATGAGAAATAAAGGAATATAATATTGTATAATTCTCAGCTCTTATCATATCTTTTAATTCCCTATTCAGATGTTTAGAATTTTGGAATTAGAAGCTATCTTACTACAAACTCCTCTGAACTTCATCTGCAACCCAGCTCTGGCCTCAGCCCTGCCAAGAAGCCTTCCCAGGATGCAGTGGGCTGAAGTGCCACTTCCTATGCAGACATTATTCCTAGCACTTTCCACTGTATGTTAAATCCCCCTACTTAAGAAATGCAATTTTTCACTTTTCAACTATCTTACTGGCAAATATATTTACAAGGTGTATAATTCTACTGCTGTTGATAATGTACAGAAATATTTACTTTCCTACATTAATGATAAAAATATAAAGTGCTATAGATATTTTGAAAGCCACCTGGCAATATATATTAAAATCACAATGCATATACTATCAGTGTTTTAAACAATCATCTCAAGAAGATGAAAAAAAATGAAGTGTAAGCCAAATCCAAATAAATTAGAAAATAATCAAGGTAAAAGCAGTAAACAAATAGAAAATACACAACAGAGAAAAATCAACAAAGCAAAAAAATGGTTCTTTGAAAACACTGAAAAATTTACTAACATAGTGAGAATGAGCAAAAAATAGCATGAACGACCAATTTCAGAAATGAAAAATGGGATTTCACAATGAACTTTAGAGACATTAAAAGATTATGACCCTACCATAAAGATTTTTTGCCAATAAATATACAAGTTAGAAAAAGGACAGATTCCTTGAAAAACATTAAAGTGAGACAAGAAAAACATGGAAAATATGAATAGTCTTACATATAATAAACAAATTGAATCCATAAATAACAACTTTTACAGAAAGAAAACTCCAAACACAAATAACTACCAGTAAACTTCTTGTTATTTATTCAAGTGAGTTGAGAACTTATATCCACACAAAAAGCTTACACACAAAAATTTTGCAGCTGCTTTATTCATAATTGCTAAAATTTAGAAGCAACCAAGATGTCCTTCAGTAGGTGAATGGACAAACAAACCACGGTACACCCAGACAGTGGAATATTATTCAGCAATGAAAAGAAATGAGCTATCACATCGCAAAAAGACATGAAGGAATTGCTTAAATGCATATTGCTAAGTGCATATTGTTGTGTGAGAGAAGCCAATCTGAAAAGGCTACATACTGTATAGGTTTTAACTGCATGATATTCTGGAGAAGGCAAGATTTTGGAGGCAGATTGCTGTGAGGGGTTTGTGGGGAAAGAGGGATAAATACGTGGAGCACTGGGGATTTTTATGAGGGTGAAAATATTCTGTAGGAGACTGTAATGATGACAGTGTATGGTATATATTTGCCAAAACCCATAGAATACACAGTACAAATTGTGAATACTAATGTAAACTCTGGACTTTAGTTAATAGTTAATGATAATGTATCAATATTGGCTCATCCATTGTAACAACTGTACCATACTAATACAAAATGTTAACAGGTGGAACTGGGGCAGAGGTGGGGCTGTGGTGAGGAGTATATGGGAACTCTGCACTTTCTGCTCATTTTCTGTAAACCTAAAGCTTCTCTAAAAAAATTAAAGTTTATTAATTTAAAAATAAATGACTTAGAGTTATACCAGATGACTTGGAAGAAAATCTGCATGCTATCATTGAATGAGAAATGTATGGAATATGGTATTCTGTTTTTATTAGAATGTGCAATAACTAAAAAGAATATTCTTTCTTCATAGAATTATATGAATAAGGAGAAAAATATAAAATATGGAGAGATAGACACTAGATTCTTAACATAAGATACTGGGGAAAAGGCATAAGGGTGAGGAGCTAAGCAAAAAAGGAAAGACAGGTAAGATTGAAGACAAAAAATACATATTATGATTGCAGGTTTGCACTTATGAGAAAATTATATTTATATGTGGATGCATACATAAATCAAAGGTATTTTAAAAGAAGTTTCTTGTCTATATGTCTGTTCCCTACCATATTGCTAGAGGTAAGAAACTGTGTCTTATTCATCTTTAAATACCTAGAGTCTGGTCTAGTGCAAGCCACATAGTATGTGTTCAAGAAATAAACCAAACTAAAATAAAATCAAATTGTACCTATGAATCTGATACAGATAAAATGGTAACTTAAGAATACCCAGCTGTATAATGGCAGAGCTGAGACATAAGCCAGTGTTCCTAACTTGAAGAATATTTCCCACATATCATTCATCACCCTCCTATCCTCTGTCAACAAATATTTATCAAGCCCCCACTTTTTGCCAGTCCTACATTCCTTTTTGAATCCTGGATTATTTTGACGCAAGCCACACTTGTTTCTGGGAAATGTCTGAATATAATGCTTGCTGGGGCCAAAAGGCGTGGTGCAGGCTAAAATACTAAGAGGTTTAAGAAGGCTTGAGATCACTCAGGAGGACAGATACACTATGGGTTGTAAAAGGAAACCCAAAATATTTGGCAGAGACCCTTCAGTCTATTTAGGTTATAAACAGTGGCCGCTAGCCTGAAGCAGGCATTACTGAGTAGGACAGGCTCCCTGTCCTTGAGAAGCTCATGATTGAATGGGGAATATGGACAAGTAAATGAAAGAAATGAGCCGAAGGGATATAATTGAGGTGAGTGGGGAGAGGCACGAATCATAAATTAGGCCTTGGTGGGGAGAGAGGCCAGTGGAAAAGATAATTCTTGGGCTGCCACACAGAGAAGGGGGTAAAAAATCCATCAGAACAGAGAAATTGAAGCACAAGATGGGAAAGGTCATATTTAAGGCTGCAAGCTGTGTAGTCTTCTGACCTGGATTCAAGTCTTCCTACAGATTGAAGGTTTGTTTTTCCTACCTGCTCCCAAATTCGTATGTGGAAATCCTAACCCCAACGTGATAATATTTGGAGGTGGGGTTCTTAGAAGGTGACTAGACCATGAGGGTGGGGCCCTCATGAATGGGATTAGCTCCCTTCTAAAAGAGACTCCAGAGAGTTTCCTTGTCCCTTCCCCCAGTGAGAACACAGGGAGAATATGGCCAACTGTGGTACAGGAAGTGGGATACATTAAACACGGAATCTGCTGGGACTATGATCTTAGACTCTGTAGCCTCCAGAAATGTGGGAAATAAATTTCTGGTGTTAAGCCACCCGATCTGTGGTATTCCGTGACAGTAGCACAAATGGACTAATGCAAATCTCCACTGTATATCAGGCCCGTTTCTTTCTAAGCTCCAAATTTCTCTTTAGGAAAATGGGAATGATGGCAGCAACCATCTCAGGTGCATGAGAATCTCAGGCACAAGGCCCTGGAACACTGTCACAATGTGATAAATGATGCAACTATTATTCTCTCAAGAGCACTAGGGAATGAGTGGAGATGCCAGGAGAACATCTGTACCAGGCTGCCTGGTACATATTTATTTATGTTTTTACTCCCTCATTTCTTTGCAGCCACAATCTAGAAGTAATAATTAATCGTTCTGAGTTCACTAACTCCTTCTTGGAGAAGCCATGGAGTAAGATCTAAAGAACACTGCCCAGTAGACTTCCACAGAAATGGCATAAAACTACAGAATTTTCTCTGTCCAGGATGTGTTTTTTGAGAGTTGATTAGTCAACACATTTATGCTGTACAGAAAATTCCGTTGGCTACCCTTGGAAGTAAAATGGAAGATATAGGTCCTTACTTTCAACAATCTTATAATCGAGTGCTTTGCAATCAGATGTATAAAGAAAGTAAAATGAGCTACTGTGAGAGACAGTGAGTGGTTGAGTGAGAGGGACAGAGTGGCGGGGACAATGTTAGATTGAGCCATCAAGAAAGCCTGGACCTGAATTACTACAAAGGAATAGCCATGTGATGACTGTGGAGAAAGTTCCAGCAGGAAACAGTTAACAAATGTTTTGGTCCTTAGATTGGGATGAAAGTGAGGCTTGAGAAAACAGAAGAAGCTGTGACTTACAGGTTTAACTTTGGATCACTGAGTCACCTGGGAGCCCTTAAATCTACCCATACCTGGGCCCTACCCATCACTTCGCCACGTGAGTTGGTTTGGAGTAAGCGGCTGGCATCTGTATTTTTAAAAACTTCCCCAGTTGATTCTAAGGTGCAGACAGGGATGGGAAGCACCGGCCAAGCATGGTGGATATAAAGAAGGTCTTAGGAGATGTGTTCTGAGGGGCACACTGAGGCCCAATCACACAAGCTTCTGAGGATGCCATGGGGAGACTGTGTGTTTTATTCTACAGATGATGGGAAGCCATTCATCATGAGGGTTTAAGCATAGACATGACATGATCTAGCTCTGGTTTTAAAGGGTGCATTGTGGATACTGCCTGCAAAGCAGGGATAGAGGGATGAAGGGGACAGAGTGAAAGAGCAAAAGCAGTTAAATATGCAAGTAAACTCTAGTGACACAACACATGGAAACTACTGATGACGATTGTCCCACTAGGTCTGCCAGTGAAATATGTACGTTAGTGCAAGTTAGATGGCACTTGTTGAACTTGGTTAATAGTAAACTGAACCTTTCTGTTTCTACCTTGACCTCACAGTCTTTATATGCTTGTCTTTAACTTGGACAATTATTATACAGTTGTTCTCGACCCTGGTTGCTCATTAAAATAATCTACACATTAGAAAAATTACTGATGCTAACTTCACCATGGAAACTTCAATTTAATAATCTGAGGGTTGAACCTGAACACTAGGAATTTTTAAGGTCTCCTCAAGTGATTTTCATCTATACATAAGAACCATTGGCTTGAACAAACAATAATCCATGGGTTGGGAAGAGGCGTGCTGAAGTCGGCTTAGCATTCTGATTTGCTCGTAGTTGACAGGGTCAGCAGAACAAAGTCAATGAGTCTTCAATGAGTCACTGTGAAACGGAGCCCAGCACAGTGAATCCAGTGTAAATATTACACCTGGGCGTCATCATCCTGAAATGGGGGAATGGAGTAGGGGATGTTTGCTTGGCAGTGCTGGTGTGTGAGATAAAGCCCCTCAGGAGTTATTATTTATTCTAAAAAAAAAAAAAAAGAAGAAGCAGAGATAGGAATCCCCAGCTTTGTATTTTGTTTTCAATACACAATTATCTCTCCAGGTTTTTTATCTTTACTACATGTCTCAAACCTTCCTATAGTTGACAACCATTGTCAAATCCATGAATAGCCAAAAAGCTGTAGTTAAAGTGATTGGTGATTTGCAGCCACCCTAAACCTGAAAAGGAGGTGTGAGTAAGCTGGAACCTTCCCGGACGGTGTGCAGATTTGATGTTGGACTGCGTGACTGGCAGCAGCCAAGTGCTCTCGGCAGCGCATTGATGACCCGGGCTCTGGGTGCCCCGCCTCCAGAATGCTTGTATGTGGTGGGATCTGGAGGCTGGCAGGTGGTCAGAGCCACCTCTCAGAGCCTCTTCTAGGGGATGAGAAGTCTGTTTTTAAAACAAATGTGTATTGAGAATTTTATTTCATGTAGAGCTGAGGCCAAGGAGTGTGGAGTTCTATTCTGGATGTACAAGTCAGACATGCAAATCTACTCTTAAAGTATAAGCTCCATTTCATTAATTTATGTTTTAGTATCTATGATATATATTTCTTACACTTTTTAGTATTTGAAAACACCCAAAATGAATTTCTTTCCAAACACTTTTTGGGCTTATCTTTTATAAGTGAAAAGATTTCTCCTCTTGATGCTGAATTAGTTAATTTTTAGTGCCTATTATATTATTTAGGCGTCAATCTCATATATTCATAGGCTTGGAATCAGTTATAAAATAATATACTCATAGGATTCTTTAAATGTCACAGTAAAAAAAATTTATTTTACCTTCACATAGTTGTACTCAAAGAGAATAAACTGTCCATCAGGAGATACTGAATAATCATTTATAGAATGTCCAAATTCATCCTGTCAATCAAGTAGAAAAAAGAACTGTTGAGCAATTCCATTTAACTGCCATCACTGAGCACTTACTATGCAGAGGGTATGTGTGGCTCCTGCTGTAGGAGCTCCCAGTCTAGGAGAGATGGCACATTTCCCCATACAAATTACCATGACACAAGGCGAAGAGTGATCAGGGCTACAGCACCAGGGAGGGAAGGATTAATTCTAACCAAGGAAAGGCAGCTGTGAGGGTGGGGAGCAAGAACCGACAGGGAACTTTCAGCATGATCGACACCCAGAGGTGGAAGAGGGCATGCGTACTTAGAGAGTGTATAAAGGTCAGGTGTTACCTGAATGCAGTAGAGGATACATCATACAAAGTATAAGGTGAGAGGACATAAAATTAGACAAATAGCTGGGGCCCAAATATAAGAAGTGAAAGTATGAACTCCTTTTTGCACATGGACATGAGAAGATCTTATCTGTCTTTTGCAAAGATGCTCTGGTGATGCAGTGACTGAGATGAGGTGGGAGGAGCTGCGACAGCCCCGGGCTTGCACAAGGAGGCCATCTACTCTACAGAATGGAGATGCAGACTGAAGTTACAATGCTCATCATCCCTGATCACACGGCGCCCTGAATCAGCACTAGCCAGTGCAAATGACGATCTGAGAGACACGTGACATTACAGAGGGAGGGCCGATAGCATTTGCTGAGTGGCTTAAAAAGGGAGATGACAGAGGAATCAAGAAGCTTTCTCAGGGTTCTAGCTTAAGTGACTTGGAGGAGAGCAGGATTCACCAAGCTTGGGGACTCAGGAAGAGGGATCGGATGCGTTCAGTTTGCTAGGAGAGGGAAGAGGGAATAACCAATTTAGCTTGGGATATTGAGTTTGAAATACTTGCAGGCCATCCGTTTGCAGAAGCCAGCAAGCTATTGGAAATGCAGGCTTAGATCTTGGGAGAAGTAGTGTTAAAAGTGTGTATTCGAGGATCAAGCCCAGAAAAAAGGTGCTGATGCTGCAGAAATAAATGAAAACCACTGAAGGAGAGGATGCACAGCAAGGGGAGAGGCCAGCAAGCAAAGACAGAGCTCTGAGGAGCGCTTACACTTAGGAGTAGGGGCAGAGGAGGAGGAGTCGTCAAAGGAGACTAAAAAGGAGCCAAGACAGGGAGCATTCCAAGAAGGAGAGAGAGATCCACTGTGCCATATGCTGCAGAGAGAGTCCAACAGGATGAGAAATGATAGTATTCATGATTTGAAAGGTTATGAAAAAATCCCCAGAATTTCCTTGAAGTATGAATTAGTTATGTGATTAAACATACAAATGTACTGTTCTCCAAGAAAATGGAGCTGTTTCCATATTCAGCATTGAATAGCAAGATATTGTTTTCTTGTTTGTAGAGATATTCATGATCTAAAGAGAGAAAATGGCCAGGTCAGTATTTCAAGTTGCTATTAAACATCTTTGTAAGCTAAAAACTGTGCGATAAAAATTTGATCTAAGTTTACACATGTACTCATAACTATTTATTTCTAAGCTGGAAAAACATTAAGTGACCAATATTACACTCGTGTGCCTTCATTCCTCCAGCATTATCGTCAGGGTTTCAATTCACATTTAATTTTTTATAGTACATGTCAAAGAAATTAAGTTAAAGTTTCTGTCTTTGCTCCCTTTGCACCCTCAAATAGAAAAAAAAATATTCTACCATATGGCTTAAAAAAACAAGGATATGTTCTCAGTGCCATAAAAATGCCCCATGACCTAACTAGAATGAACATAAGCATAAAAACCTGCCCCCGCTCTCCCCAAAAGTCCTTACCTGAAACCCATCTCAAGGAGTAGAACTTCACTCTGAAAGTATTTTTTAAATAATCTGTTAGAGTGTAAGTTCTGCGACTGTCAGCTGTAGTATCATCTGCTGGTTGGAAAAAAGAGCCAAATATTCAGTAAGATGGAATAACCTGTTTTGGATAAAATAAATAAATGGATCTCTGCAATATATAATGGTCACGAAATACAGAAATGTACTCACAAACTGCAAAACACATTTTGGAAGATTTCAAACTGGCTGGACGGAGTGAAAATGCATTTAACTGTGAAAGCGTATGTGTTTGTTTCCCTGTGCTCTGAGTACCACATGAACGAACTTCATCATCAAGGTCTAGCTCAGCAACGTCCCATGGAAATACAATGTGAGTGCATTATCTAGTAGCCATAATTAAAAATTCTTAAGGTAAATTAATTTGAATAGCATATATCATTTAGCCAGTATATCCAAAATATTATCACTTCAACATGTAATCAATATTTTAAATGGTATCAATGAGATCTTTGACATTTTTTTTCACCCTAAGTCTTGAAATATGGTATGTACTTTGCAATTACAGCATACCCCAACTCAACTAGGTACACTCCCAGTCAGTACCTTCATGTGGCCAGGTAGTGGATGGCACAAGGCTGGCTTATTTCCTCGAGGCCTCGACGCTACTTCCAAGCCCTCTTGTCTCCACATAGACCTCTAGGACATTCTGATCACCCAACCCAGGGATTTTTGTTTCGTTCACACTTACCCTTGAATTTGGTAGATGTTTTCCTGAAATCCTTCTCTTGAATTTTGTGATACTGCCATTCTCCTAACTCTCTGATCATTATTTTTCCAGCTCTTACTTTGATTTTCTTTTCTCCATTGACCTCTCATGCAGACATGCCCTGATGGTCAGCCTTGAGCTTTCTGTTCTCTCTCTACATTATTCCTCTCAGAGAATTCCAGAGAATGTGACTTCTTGGGCTTTAGGCATGTTTTCCATTTAAATAAATGACAAAATCTGTACTCATGACCTTAGCCTATTGCACCCCGAACTCATATTTCTCGTGTTACACTGGCCTTCTTAGTTGACATGTCCCACACTAGCCCTATACTTACCTTACCTAAAATAATCTTCCCCCTTCCAAAACTAGTTTTCTCTAGTTTATATTCTCTTACTGGTGGCCCATAGTCAAAATCTGAAAATCGATTTTGATGTCTTGCTCTTACCACTGCCCGTATCCAAGCAGCGCCATTGATGCTTCCTGTGAAATCTCCTTTCCAGGTGTCCCTGCCATCAGGTTCTCCCAGTCCAATCCTGCACAGCACCAGCACTGGAATGATCTTTCTAAAATGCCCCTTTCATCCCGGCGAACCTTTCCTCAAATGCCCCAATGCCTACAGAAAGATTCCCGAGGGACATGCGGCCTCCATGGTCTGACAGGAGGCTCTCTCTGGGCTCATTTCCACGCTCTCCACGCATGAGCCTTCTAACCTGTCACACCGATCTGCCTACTGAGCCCAGGAGATCACCTTAGGCATTGCTGCCTCTGCTCCTCGTTCTAAGCCACTTCCCTGCCATGTTGTCAACTGCCTCCCTGACCATCACAGTACCCCACCCTCCAGCCCCCACCTCTTTCATAAAGGCTTCAGTTCTGCCTCCTCTGACTTTTGCCCCCACACTGCTCTGTTGACTCTTGTCATTTAATAACTTGTACAAAATGATAACTGGTCTTCCATGCCTACCTGTGTGGGCTGCTCCCCGAGGCCATCAATTCTTTGAAGACAAGGCCTTGTGTTTTTGCTTTCTTGCATTTTTGTTTTTCATGAACCTTAGCACCTGGCACAGTTCTATGCTTTAGGAGAAGCCTCTAAAACAAGTTTTTGTTGACTCATCTGCAGTAATGAAACCAGTGATTCCTCTTAACCAGTCCCAGAGCGTGCATGGCGAATAAACAGCCTGAAGTCTTTTAGATAGCCCGAATCTCACTGCATCTGATACCAGACACTGAATCTGCCAGGGCCTTGGACCTCTCAGCTTCCAGAACTGTGAGAAATAAATGTTTGCTGTTTAATCCCTCCAGTCTATTGTGTTTTTGTTCATGCAGCCTATATATATGTATGTATATAATAAACAGACATAGCAACATAGAACATCCATCAGTGATGTCTGGTTTTATAAGAAGATAATTAACTGAGTACCTAAAACAAATCACAGTGTTATTTCATTTAGATGCTATCTCATATAAGGGGATTTGCCCAGTTTTATCAGGATAACATGCTTAAATCTAGAATATTAAAGTAATCGAGGCAGAATTCCCTGCTGCCGCGGGTACTGCTCCTCACCTTCATGATGCGTTCCTTACTGAGCACTCACCTCTCCTGCCCACAGCGTTCTCAGCAGGCTATAGCTTTTCTAAACTCCTCATCTCTACCACATTCGGCTTCCCTTCTGCTCACAGTGGGCCCCGTGTGCTTTCCATCCATCTGCTGATGTTCCAGATACTGACACTGATGCCGCACTTTTGCTACAGCCCAGGTCAGCTGTGAGGGCCCAGTGCCACCTTGGCTTGTGTCAGGCTCATTCAGCCACTCCACAGTGACCCTGAAAACTGTTTTCCATATCTTGGCTACCCAGTCCCAGCACAGCACTGCTAAATTGGAGCAAGTAGAGCAACAAATGTTCCTTGTTTTTTGCCTTGCCATTTGACAAGCAGCACGCATTGGAAGACGCTTTTGAAACATCTAGATAAGAGAGTCTGTGAGACATGCGTGCCAAGTCCAGGTTTTGACCTTTAGTAAGTTCATAGTTTGCTGCCAAGTTACAACCTATCATGTCAGACACTTAGAGGACACACTCGCGTCTCTTCTTCCTTGTCTACTTGCTCCGTGACAGGGCACTGCTGCAGCAACAGATGAAGGGCTTCGGCTCTTTGTGTGGTTTTCCTGGTGGGCCTGGGACATGTCGTTCATTTGACTTATCAGTTCAAAGCACTGTGCTAGCCAAGTGAAGCAGTTAATCATGTTACCTGTCAGCTTACACTGAAACTCTTAAACACAAGTCTTCTTTGATTTAAAATTGTTAAAACAAGGTTAACAACTTCATACTTTTCTTTGGTGAGAACCACAATTCGGCCAAACCACATGCAATGCCAATTTTGATTAGTCAAAAGTGGTAGAAGAGCGGTATTTAATGGTTCACCCTAATAATAAATTCTCATCAAAGTGTATGATATCTTAATGAACCCTTGCTGTAGGAACAAAATCATTTCTGAATAAAATAATGTTTAAAGTGATAAAACTCAAGTAAGAGAGTAGTGTACTTCCACTGAGTATCCTTCCTTTGACTGATTGTGACTTTATGATACAGGACATTTTGAATATTTATATATATTCATTAATAAAAAACTTTTTTATCTGCATAAACATAAAATATATATATAATATTTCTACTTCACAAAGATAAATTGGTGTGGTAAATAAATGGCTAATGGAATGCAACTAAAAAGAAATGTGCTCTTTACAGCTCATAAACTCATAAAGTTGTTAAACATGGGGAAACGATATCTGGTTACAGAGTTCTTGAGTTCCATATGGTAATCAGTTAACATTTTATACCGATGCTAAAGAAATATAATAAGTGTTACTTTAGAATTTGCTAGAGCAAAATAGCAATCTTGACATAGGGACATAGGAAGAAAAATCAAGAAGGCAGAAGAAACTGATTGGAAGGCTCCTCATGTCCTGTATTACCCAGCAGAACATGCAGGTGGTCCCCCATCTCCATTGATTCAACAAATGCCACAAAGGATTGGGTTCCTGGAGGCTTTGAAATCAGAAAGCCTGTATTTGTTCCCAGGCTTAATTCTGCACTAGGGCCTTGGGAAATTACTGAATATTTCAAAACCTCAATACTTTAATCTATAAAATGAGCATAATAGCATTACCTAGCCCATAAGGATTTGCCACAATTAAATGAGGTGATGTATATAAAGAGCTTAGTTCAGGACTCAGAATTTAGGAAGCCCTCCAGATATGTTATATCATTTATATTTCGATCCAAGGATGTGCTAGGCAATCAGGATACAAAGATGAATACAGGAGTCTCTCCCCTGGAATATCTAGCAATGGTGCTGAGATTAGGAATGTCATTGCAATTAAATAATAGCCAATTGAGTTTCATTATGTTCACATCCCAAATGATCCCAGCAGCCAGTATAAGAACATCACACTGAGAAAACACCTCAGATACGTACAAGCTAATAACTTGCTAAGTGGTAATGGACATCGCTTTCTCCCTGCCACAGGTCTAATGCCCTCCAGAGTGGGAGAGAGCAGGTGATGGCACGGAGGGAAGTCACTGGACTTAGTGGACTTCAGGGATTTGTGATGAGTGATGTTTCTCTGACTGTTATACATTAGAGGCAGTGCCAGATTTCCCTTCTCAACTGGAGAAACATCCAATTTTCTTTTTATTTTGTTTATTTTGCATATGTATACATAAAAGAAATTGCCCTCTCATCCCACCCAGGCATACGTGGAGGAAGGCGCCCCGGCCCCAGGTTCGTGGTCGGGGCGGTGCAATCCTGTGGGTCCCAAGCCCCAGTCAGGAGAGGGCTGGCCTGAAGGGCTGGGCAGGCTGCAGCCCTGTCAGTCACCGTAAACTGCACCACATCCAAGGGGCTGTTTGATGCCCTTAAAGTAGGACTGCCGCCACACCTGCAGCGGCCGCTCTCCTCCGCCTCAGGGGCAGGGCTGCCTCGGCCTCCCAGGGGCAGATCGGTCCATGAAGGTACGTTAAGCAGCAGCTGATAAGCGCAGGGCACTGACCTGGAGCCTGTGAGCCTGCGACTGTACTCCAAGCATTTACCCTAACATCAGAGGGTCAGATGACCAAACTTTTCTTAGGGACGTACTCACTGTATTTTCAAAAATCTCCTCTGAAAGGCCAACCAAACATTTCCCAGAATAGCAGCAGTTTGGGAAAAAGGGAATTTAGAAGGGATTGCTGCCATGACTCCAGCCTCTCCTCCTCCTCCTCTCATCACTCTGCTCCGTCCACATTGGCCTCCTGGCTCTTCCCCGGACACTGGCCCACTTCTGCCTCAGGGACT